TAAAAAAAAAAAAAAAAAAAAAAAGAAGACTTGGTGCTGACTGAGGAGTTTGGGGCAGGGCGAGAGGAAGGGAGTCTGGGGGAATCGGGGTATCCGGCTGGGCCCCCCCATTAGGTGCAGCTGGAAAACAGTGGGAGTGGAGGACGGAGGGCTTCCCTGGCTTGAACGCCTCTGGAAACGGTATGTGGAGACAGCAATCACGTCAGCTTGATGAGCACTACTACTCTGGGTGCTGTGCTGGTCACAGACACACAGCCTTGCTCTTAGGCAGCTGAGGCCATGCTGCAGTTAGGGGCCAGGGGGGACTGTAAGGAAAAGACAGGAACGACTAGACACCGTGTGAGCCGGGAAGGGCCCGCTGAGGATGGAATGAGAAGCGGTAAGGGCGGCAGACACACCTTCCAGGCACCCAGACGATCGGCCTCGGCCTCGGCTGGAGGGTTGGTTGTGTTGGAGAAACAGCTGGCAGCCACCGTGGCTGGAGCAGCGCTCCTCGGGACAGGAGGCACAGGATGAGGTGGGAGATAGGCAGGGGCCAGGCTGCGTAGCACCCTCTACCCCACATCCCTGCTCCCCTAGGCCACAGCCGGAGACTGCTGTATTGATTTGTTTGTTTTTCTAAAACCCATGAGAAGCCACTGTTGGTGGAGAATGGATGGGGGTGGGGGCAAGTAAGAGGCTAGATGGTGGACCAGGCTGGAGGGAACAGTGGGCAGAACTGTGCTCCGTCCTGAAGGCAAACCCCACAAAATTTGCGCATGGATCAGATGTGGATGCACCAGGGCGACTCCCAGGTCCAGAGCAGCCAGGTGGCTGGTGGCCTTGGTGGTTCCATTTAGCCTGGATTTCCTCAGAATTGCCTATCAGCCATCCAGCTTGGGGGGAAGGAGTAAGTAAGTTGTGACCTGTTGAAGTCAGGAACACAATGACAGGAGTCATGAAATCTGTGGCTGGTAGAGAGCCCCAGGGAGAGATCCAAAGATCCAGGCAGGCCCACACTGAGAACTAGGTCAGAGGAGGAAGAGGGGAAAGGAGGGATGGATAGTGCCGGGTACTGCTGGGGAGAGGGAGGAGGGCCAGGCAAGAGAGCTGGGGCAGTCTGAGTGGAGGGGAGGGGGGTTGAAGAGAAGTAGGGAGAGGGCGTGGAGACAGAGCACCAGAGATCACTCTGGTGACTGGATGGTACCTGGAGGAAGGAGTTCAAGGGAGTGGCTGTTTCTATTTTGTGTTTTTATTTTTTAACAATTTTTAAAAAATTTTTTTAAATGTTTTATTTATTTCTAGGAGAGAGACAGAGAGAGAGAGAGACAGTGTGAGCAGGGGAGGGTCAGAGAGAGAGGGAGTCACAGACTCTGAAACAGGCTCCAGGCTCTGAGCCGGCAGTCAGCACAGAGCCCGACGCGGGGCTCGAACCCACGAACCGCGAGATCATGACCTAAGCGAAAGTCGGACGCTTAACCGACTAAGCCACCCAGGCACCCCTATTTTTTAACAATTTTATGTTTAAGTAATCTGTCCACCCAACTTAGGGCCTAAACTCAAAACCTTGAGACCAAGAGGTCACGTGCTCCACCGCCTGAGCCAAGTAGGCACCCCTATTTTGTGTTTTTGAATGAGATACTATAGAGTTACTTCTCCAGATTCTAAAATCTATAGGCCTAATAGGCTTATGGGGGAAACAGAGTTGAAAGTACTTTGGAAAAGCCATTAAGTGCCTTGTGGAACCCAGTGCTCACATCCACAGCCCAGTAAAGTCTGAGATCCCAAGGGGGGGAATCAGAGGAAATGTGTTTGCCCACGTGTGGGTCCCTAACTGCCTGCCTGTGTAAGGACCCGATGGGGCACAGGCTGGGAGACCTGTATTTGCCCTCAGCCTCTGATCCACAGGGCAGGTGAGGGTGGGAGGGCTCTCATGCTGAGGGGTGGTGAGGTTCGGGGTAGGGGGGGGTCCGAGGCTCTCTCCAGAGCAACCAGAGGAACAGAACCCGCTGTGGGCAGAGGGCAGGAAGCAGGGAAGGGCTCAGTGGCAGTTCCTCTGAGAGTCAGGTCCATCCACCCCTGAGGGAGGCCAGGGTTGTGGGCTCCTGTTTCCTCAATGAGCCAGGTGGTGAGGTCCCAGGTCAGGGAGGAGGCTGCCCCTCCAATCCAGGGTGGCTTCCAGGAAGGCAGGTTGGAAGGTCTGGGTGTTTGGGAGCTGCTGCTGACCCAGGGAGACAGATGCAGAATCCTAAGCATTCCTAGATGGGAGGCAAAATGGGTGGCTTTTCAGGGGCCCAGCCCTAGCACCCACCCACCCCCTCCAGCCTTATTCTCTAGGCAGTCAGCCTATCTGTCCTTCAGCTCCTCCTCAACCTCCATCCCCACCTGTAGGACTCTGGAAGTCATAAAATGGGCTGAGAGCCTAGCTAGAGGGTATCTAAAAAAAAGATCCCAAGGGTGAAGTACAGGGGTTCCCCAGGAAGACCCTGTGTCTCTCCTCCCAGGCCCTGCGCAGCCCCCCGGGGGACATGCAGCCAGCCCCCAGCCAGCCCTCTGAGTCTGGTAGATTTCAGCGTCTCCCCTGGTAGTGAGGAGCAGGGTGCTCAGAGCCCTCGCGACTCCGGGTCACTCATCTACAGAGGAAGCCTCCCCCCGCCCGTCCCCCAGCTTCCCACCCAGTGCACTCTGTCTTGTTGGGAGGGGAAACCGGCAGCCCGGCTTACCTGGCCTGTGACATGGGGTTCCCCGCCCCCCCCCCCCGACAGTGCACCAGGTGCCCTTGGGAGCTTCAGAGCAACCCCTCGCAGAGGTGGGCTCACACTCTGCTTGCCCGGCCCCCTCTCTTCCATGGTTGAGGGACCGTGGCTGGAGGACTCGTTTCCAGCAGGAGGCTGGGGCGCGGGGAAGGGCTGGCGGCCAGAGTGTGGAGAGACGGGGGTTAACACTGTGCTGGGGAGAGTTCCTGAGTCAAACTGGGGCGCAAGGGTTGTAGAATCGTTTGCTGAGAAGCCACCGAGGACCAAGCCGGGGGGGTTCATCTTATGGGGCTGGATTTGCCTGATCTGTGGCAGCGCACGCCCGCCTGCCCGCGCGCAACACCGCCTCCCTACACAAATGCGCGCGCGCGCGCGCACACACACACACACACACACACACACACACACACACACACGCCTTGCAGAAGACCAGGCGCTGGCGAATGTACGTCCCCAGGTGGGGCTCCCTCCCGTTCGGGAAGGAAAACAGGGCGGCAGGGCCACCTTGAATAATGGAGGTATAGAAGCCGCGAGCCAAGACCTTGACCCAAGAGACAGCCGGGGATGCTATGAGGCCAGAAGAGGAACCGCGAGGCGCGCAGAAGGTACATCAGACGTCGCCGAACCGGGAGCGCCGCCGGCTCCTGCGGACTAGGGCGTAGCCCAGGGACTGAGCGCCGGCCCTTCTAGTTAGTCAGGGCGCGCTTCCTGGAGGAGGAGAAGGAGGGTTTACCGCTCGAGCGACCAGGATGAATGGGGAGGGCGGGGCAGCTGGCGGGCTGGGCCCCAACGAGGCCCCCTGCCGAGGGTGGGGCGGGGGCCGGCAGCCGTGCATAAAGCCGACTCTGGAGAAGCCCTCCCACCACCCGCCACAGAAGCACAACACCGTGGGTCCCTGGGCCCGTCGGGCTTCTTCCCAGAAACTTCCTAGCCCCGCCCAGCTCCTAATCCGGCAACGCCTGAGAGGGCAAGCGGGCCCGAAGAAGCCAGATCCACACGTTCTGGCTGAATTGCCCCGGGGACTGACAGGAGAGCGGGTGAGGGCGCGGGGCGGGAGGGCGGGACCCCGCCCAGGGCTGCACCAGGGCGGCACCAGGGCGGGGCGTGGAGCGGCATTAGGACCCAGACGCGGCGCGGGGGTGTGTCGCCGGGTCCGCGGCTGGCCCGCCCGAAATGCCAAGTTCGAGGTATCGGAGATCCCGGGTGAGGAGCTCGGGCGTGCGCGCATGTGTGCAGCCGTCGGGCAGCCTATCGCCCGGCCATGGCTGCGGCCACGCGGCGCATGTTCCATCTCCAGCCTTGCGGTGGGTGCCTGAGCCAGCGGGCGCGGCCGGGGCGCGGCGGGAGGGCCGTTCGGACTCCGCGGCGAAGGGCTGCTAGGAGGGGACGCGGAGCCGTCGAAACACCGGGGAGAACGCGGATGCCGCCGGCTTGCCCAGGCCCCGGGCCACGGTGGGCGAGGGGGTCGTGGAGGCTTCCCAGCCCTGGGAGGAGGGGGTGGGGGTCAGGTGTGAGTTCGGCCCGAAGGGTAGTGGGAGCCCGGGGGAGCACGCGGGTGGTGGAGGGAGGCCCAAGGGGCCTCGTGGACACTGCGCGCTTGATTTAATGCCCTACTGCAGACTTGAATTCTTAGTCTTTGAGCCAGTGGAGGGGTGCGGGCGTGGAAGCTGTTGGGACGGAGCTGTGGAGTCCCTAGCACCCCGAGGGCTGGGCTCTTCCCAGCGGGCACGCTGCCGCCTCCTGTTACCTTCTGCCCGGACACCTTCTCGCCCCCGGCGCAGCGGAGAAGCCCGCCCACCCTTAGGGATCCCGGGGCCTCCGACTGGGCCCTGCGGGGCCACAGCAGCATTTACTTCGCGGCTCTGATACCTGAGGGCCAGCCTGGAGTCTGTAGGACCATTTACCGGCACTTGGGGCTCCCGGTATGGGAGTAAGGTGTGCACCCCCGCCACCCTTCCAAACCGTCCTCACCCTCGTCCGCTGGCCACCCCTGCGGCCTCGGATGCTAGCTTTACCGCCCCCGCCCCTCCCTTCTGGATGCAGACCGGGCTCCCGTCCCGCGCGTCCGTCTGCATCCTGCCCGGCCCCCAGGGTCTCCGAGTCTGGAAGTGCTTTCCTCTCGTGCACGCGGCCCCTCCTGTCGCTTCCTTCCTCGCACAGAGCGGCACAAACAGCCGGGACCATCCGGGGCCCTGCGCAGTGAGCGCGCACAGAGCCCCCTCCCTCGCCCCCCTCCCCCCAGCCTTCTCTCTGGAGGACCAACGGCTCCGCCTCCCAGGAGGCCCGGGACGTGGGTGGCACCGAGGGGAAGGAGGCCGTTGCCATGTGGGCCCCCGGTGACTCCAGGCGTGTGCGGTTGGGGGCGACTGCACGTGTGATGGGTGTTGATGGCTCCTGGGTGCGAAGTAAGAGTAGGAGGCGCGATGTGCGAGCAGGAGGTTCCCGGCCCAGGTGCTGGGCTTGGCGGCGGCGAAGCAGCTCGAGAGGGAGGCCGGGGAGGCCGGCGTCAGCGAGGAGGGTGGAGGGACGGGCCGCCTCCCTCCAGTACCGGCGGCCTGTGCTGAGTAGAACAATCAGCGAACGCTGCAAGGGTACTGTTAACACACTCCTAGAGGAAAGCTGCTGAGAACGTTTCCCCTGCTTGGCGGCTTGGCCGTTTCCCACCTGGGCTGACCCCGCGGCAGATTGGCTGAAGAGTAACAGGCTTGGCTTCCTGTGGCTCCTTAAAGCACTGCCCCCTGCTCCTTTGGTCCCCAGGTTGGCTTGGGTTGGGTACCTGGGAAGGGGTAAGGAGTGAGCCGAGTTGGTGTGGGGAGGGGAGCAGCTGGACACGGGACACTGTCCAGGGCTGGCTCGGGTAGCTGGTAACAGTTCTTGGGTTTCCCTTGCAGAGCCCTCTTGCAACATGTCCCAGAATGGATTCGTTGAGGATGTAGGTGAGTACATCCGGGGCGGGGCTTCTAAGAGAGCTCCTTGGTCAGAAGTCATTAGGGGACCTAGTCCCTCCACCTGGGTGCCCATGGCATTGACCACTGTCTGTGGCCCCCAGCTGGTGCCGGAAGGTCGTGGTATGGTGGAGGGGGCAGCTAACCCTGCCTGGGACGCTGAGTGGTCTCGTGGATCTGGGAAGGCAGGCGCTTCCCTCTCCGGGGCTTTGTTCTGCTTAGGCCTCAGGGCTTTGTTCTGCTTAGGCCCTGGGTATCTGCCCACAGCCCTCCATCCCGGCCCAGCCCTGTGAGGGAGGGGCTGCCATTGTCCCTCTGGTGAAATGCGAGGAACCTTTCTGTGCTTCAGCTTTGCTGCTTCCCTGAGACCAGCTCTCCCTCTCTCCACGTCTCTGGGCTCTCCTGTGCCCACACCTGGGGGGCCGGCCTGGCCACCAGAGGGGTGTTCAGTGGGACAGTGCTTGGACAGAGCGGTGACACGCTCTTAGCCAGAGTCCCCAGGGCATGGTGATAGTGTGTGCCAGGCTGTTGGCAGGCAGGTTAGGTATGTGGTTCAGCTTATAGGACGGCGGTGGGGACGTGGCCTCCTAGGAGTGTCGCAGGACCTAGGTAGTATCAGCTGGGCAGGTCCTAGGTAGAACCCAGAGTAGAAGAGAAGGGGACAGGCCTGATGGGGCAGTGCCCAGGAATAATAGGTGCTGATGGGGGTGACAGAAGGGAGATTAGGGCAGGTTGGGGGTGGGGAGCCAGGTAGTCTAAGCAAAACAGGCCTGGGACTGAGGGGGGAAGGAGTTTTTAATGGATGTGAACTCCATAACAAAGAAGGGAAGGACTTTTTTTGACTCTGGGCTCTGAGTACAGTGTAGACCTGGAGCTAAGGAGCCCTCCTAGGGGAGGACTAGCACCCCCTGCCCAAAAGGGCCCAGGCTGAGCACAGGACACTGGGGGAACAGGGGCTGGGATGTGCAGAGGAAACCGGCCGGCTAGAGTGGAAGTGAGTCAGGGTGAGTCACCGCCTGGCAGGTGTAGGCGTGCTGCTGACCCTTCCCCGTACCAGCACAGGTGTTTGTCGCGCATTGGTGGGCTCTGGCTTCAAGAACCCCTTTCCTGGAGCACTCACAAGTGGTCAGCCCTAGGGGACCCCAGGGCAGTCAGGAAGGGGTGCCGGCAGGGACCTAGGAGGACTTGCCAAAAGGGGAGGCTTCCTTTGAGCCTTGAAGAAGGCCTTCTGGGGAGGGGAGCCCTCTGCTCTAGGACAGGCTCCAGCATGCCTGGGGCGTTGGCCGACTGGCCTGAGGAGTGAGATCAGAAGTGGGGGGTGGGACTGGGCCTGAGGGACCCGGGGTCAGGGCAGGGGTAGCAGGGCTGGCCGCCACTGTCACCCCAGAGGGCTTGAGGAGCCCAAGCAAGAGTGGAACACTTGCATATCAGTAGGAAGCCTTCCTGTAGGAAGCGGGTGTGGGCTGTGAGCAGTTATAGGAACTAAGACCCAACTCTGCACTGGGATGCCACGACACCCCTCTTGCTCGCCATTGGGTCTCTCCTTGGAGTCCCCTTCCCTGTCAGCCCCTGACTGTATCCCTGGCTCCCCTGCTTCCTGGACCTGGTCTGATGTCTGGACAGGGTCCCTCAGCCTTGATGCTTCAACCTCCCCGAAAGAAGCGCTCTAAAACCCCGTGCCAGTACGGTGGGCAGGGGGCTGGCTCCCCCAGCGGTTCTGGCTTCCCTTGGGTCCCACCTCGAGAGCCAGGCAGGTCTGGGTCCTGTAATCTGGGGGTTCTGGGAGGGCAGCGGCCAGTCTTAACCGCATCCTTGCACCCTGCGCCTGGGAAGAGTTTGCCAAACGACCGTATTTTTCTCTAGCTGAAGGATGCACGGGGGTCAGAACAGTGCAGGGCCCTGGCTCCTGCAGCTGAAGAACATTGGAGAAAGCGGTTGGGTCGGGCCGCCGGCTGGGTGCCATACTCTGACTGGGGCTGGGTGGGGACTAGATAGTCCGCCTCCGGGGGCCTGAGGAAGGAAGGCCTACCCACGCCAAGTGGGACAGCCTAGGGGGCCGCTGCTCCTTGGACTCGAGTCCCTCCCTCTGGTGAGTGTAGCACTGACGGCCGGGTCCTCTTGGGGGGGGGGTCTCTCTCGGTGGTGGTTGGGTCTCCAGGCTACCTCAAGTGTGACGTGGATGATGCCTCGGAAACCCGCGAGGAGAACCTGGGGGATGAGGCCTTCGACACAGTCACCTCCTCCATTGTGTCTGGCGAGAGCATCCGTTTTTTTGTCAACGTCAACCTGGAGGTGCAGCCCGCCCAGGCTGGTATGGGGGGGGCGGGTAGCAGGGCCAGGCTGGGGGAGGCCAGGGCGCACGGGGGCCTGGGCAGACAAGGCGGCGCTCCGCCAAAAGTCCCGAGGAAGCGGGGCGGCCTCCTGAGCCCTCCCGCTTTCCTCTAGCCGAGAGTGACTCGCCGGGCGGCTGCGGGCTCCTACACACCTCCCGCAAGGTGAGTGGCCTGTCTGCAGGACAGGAGCCAGGAGCCGTTTGGTCCTGGGCCACTGTTGGGGGTGGGTGGGGGCGGGGGTGCCTGCTCGCCGTCACAATAAGCAGGGGTCTCACACCAGCCCTCGGCCTGGCTGCCTTGCCGGGCTGTCCCTCTCGGAAGCGGTGGGTGGGCAGGGGCGGCCAGGGTGCCAGTACAGAGGCGGAGCCCAGGTAGTGACGGCGGATCGCACTCATGGGCCTCCGTGGCTCTGTGTGTGGGGGTCCCCACAGTACCTGAGGTTAAAGAACTTTGACGAAGAGATACGCGCACACCGGGACCTCGACGGCTTCCTGGCACGGGCCAGCATCATCCTGAACGAGACGGCTACCTCGCTGGATGACGTGCTGCGGGCCATGCTGTCACGCTTAGCCCACGACCCCCACAACACTGAGCCTGACTGCAATTTGGGCCTGTTCATGGCCATGCTCTTCACGGATGCCGGGACTCCTACGGAGGGTAAAGGTGAGGCCCAGGTGCCCGACTGGGCAGGGGGGTCAGGGAGGTGGGCCGGCAGACCCTCTTACCCCTTTCGCTCCGTCCTCAGCCCACCTGCTGTCAGACACCATCCAAGGGGTCACTGCCACGGTCACAGGGGTGCAATACCAGCAGTCCTGGATCTGCATCATGTGAGTTGCCGGGACGCCACAGCTGGCCTCCCCCTAGCTCAGCCTGGCCCACCTGCTCTGAGGGCAGAGGGTGTGGGCACCCTGTCCCTTTTGGTCTTTTCCTCTTGCTATGAGAGGTCACAGGGGCTCAAAGTTAGGAGTCCCGGGTGGGGAGAGCCCAGCGCCCAGGGTGGCAACTGTGTGCTGTGTGCCCTCCCCACCCCGCCCGGTCAGCTGCACCTCCAAGGCCCTGCAGAAGCGGCACGTGTGCATCAGCCGGCTGGTCCGCCCCCAGAACTGGGGGGAGAACTCGTGCGAGGTGCGATTCGTCATCCTGGTGCTGGCCCCGCCCAAGATGGTGAGTAGGGGTCTCGCCGTGGCTCCCGGGAAGGAAGGTTCCGGGTTAGCCGGCCCTCTTCCTGGAGGCATCTCTTCCATGTGCTGGAGAACCCCGCCGTCCGTCATATCCCCCCTACTTAGTTTCCCCGAAGCGTCCTTGCTGGGTCCTCATCAAGCCCTCTTTCCCCAGACGTTGCCCAGGAAGTTGTATTTCCTTCCTGACTGGAGAGAGAGACTTGTTAAAATTAGTGTTGTTCAAACATGGGGGGCTTTTCATTGGCCTCCCCCTACCCTGTTCTTCCAGTTGGCCCCTCCTGTGATTTGCTGGCCAAGGATCCCCACTTCTGCCTGGGCCATCATCCCCTGGTCAGGGGCACCTTGCCTCTGTGGGAGCTGAAGCTGATATAGTTTGAGGAGTCTCTTTTCAAGGAAAATGATTTTTTTTTTTTAATGTTTATGTATTTATTTTGAGACCGAGAAAGAGAAAAAAATGTATGCAGGGGAGGGGCAACGAGAGAGAGAATCTCGAGCAGGCTCTGCGCTGTCAGCGTGGAGCCGGATGTGGGGCTCTATGTCATTAACCTTGACATCATGACCTGAGCTGAAGTCAAGAGTTGGACACTTAACTGACTGAGCCACCCAGGCATCTCTCAAGGAAAAAGATTTCAAAATCAGAAATAGAAAATGGCTAAGGCTGCTGCCCAGGCCTGAGAAGGGCCTTCTTGCTTCAACTTCCACTAGCATCTGGATGATTCTGCCCCTGCCTCTGGTACAGACTCAAGCTTGGCATGGCCCTCCTCCATGGGCCTTCTCTAGGCAAAGTGGGATCAGATGGGAATCCCCTCCTCCCACCCCGGGATTTCAGAGACGTGCTGTGAGCCTTCCCAAATGCTACTGTGCTGGTGAGAGGGAAAGAGCATTGAGGGAAGTGGCAGCTCATGGGTCAGAGAGAGCGACAGCTGGCCAGGCGGCCAGAGCAGTGGAAGGGACTGTATCCCCCGGGCTGAGTGGCTAGACGGGTGCCTCGTGACGGGTCAACAAGCCTAACGCCTGGCCTCTCCTCAGGGGAATGAACAAGCCTGTTCTAGAGCTAAAGGGAGCAGAGCATGGGCTGGCTGGCCCTGGGTCTACCGCTTTGGGGCACCATGAAGGAGACAAGTTGCCATGGTTGAGGTCGGACCCTAAGTTCATGGACAGAGTGAACTTTGGCAGGAAAGGAGAAGGCTTGACAGGCCTGGAACCCCTCTGAAAATCCAATAAACCAGAGGCGCCTGCGTGGCTCAGTCGGTTAAGTGTCTAACTCTTGATGTCACCTCAGGTCTCCATCTCAGTGATGGGAGTTCAAGCCACACAGTGGGCTCTGCACTGGGCACGGAGGCTACATACATCTGTACATCTGTACATATGTACATACTGCAGACTGTACGAATACCACTAGTGAAATGGAGCTGGGTAAACGTTCTTCTCCATCATTGTGATTTCAACATCCATGATTATTATTACACAGACTTGTGTTCCTTGGGACAATACCACTACCTCAGTTTATACAAACTCATGAGTTGTTTTATTTTTATTTTTTAATGTTTATTTGTTTTTGTGAGACAGAGACCGACCATGAGTGGGAGAAGGGCAGAAAGAGAGAGGGAGACACAGAATCGGAAGCAGGCTCCAGGCTCTGAGCTGTCAGCACAGAGCCCGATGCGGGGCTCGAACCCACGAGCCGTGAGCTCGTGACCTGAGCCGAAGTCGAACACTCAACCGACTGAGCCACTCGGGCACCTCATAACTCATGAGTTTTTAAAGGGAATTCTGAGACTGCCGTAGTTCTAGCGATTTGCTGACCTGGTGGGAATCATGGCAGATCCACTAACGCTTGACCTCTGGGGGACAAAATTTGCTGCCAGTTCACAGTGGGGGGCACTTGCCACATGCTTAGGACTGTCAGTGATGGGCAGGGCAGGGTGCCCCCACTCTCGAGCCTCAGATGTGACTCTCCTGCCCTCTGCCCCCAGAAAAGCACTAAGACTGCAACCGAGGTGGGGCGCACATTCGCCACCATGTTCCTGGACATCACCTTCCGCCAGAAGCTCCTGAACACCCGCACGGAGGAAGAATTCAAGGAGGCACTGGTGCACCAGAGACAGCTGCTCACCATGGTGCGGCAGTGTCCATCCCTCGGGTCAAAGGGCTTCGTGAACTCCATCAGCATACGCAGATCCCTGCAGGTACAGGGGAGAGGCGGGTGTGGGCAAGTGGCCTGCGGCGTGGGCCTCACGGCTGACGGACATCTGTCCTCCTGCCCAGCCCCCAAAGCAGAAGGACTTCCTCCCGATGGGGAAGGGCATCCGGGAGGACATTGCCCGCAGGTTCCCTGTGTACCCACTGGACTTCACTGACGGTACGTGGCCCTGTGGTCGCCCCCCCAGAGCTCAGCCTGTGGCTTAGGTCCCGGGACGACACATGTGCCTGTCCTGCATCCCCAACACACCCTCTGTCCTGTCCCATTCCTAGGCATTATCGGCAAAAATAAGGCTGTGGGCAAATACATCACCACCACCCTGTTCCTCTACTTCGCCTGCCTCCTGCCCACCATCGCTTTTGGGTCCCTCAATGATGAGAACACAAACGGGGCCATCGGTGAGGAAGTGGGGGTGTGGCGGGGGGCCCAGCGCTGCGGCACCTGCCTGACCCCCCACCTCCACTCCCTCAGATGTGCAGAAGACCATAGCGGGGCAGAGCATTGGAGGCCTCCTGTACGCCCTCTTCTCTGGGCAGCCGCTGGTGGTACTGCTCACCACTGCGCCCCTGGCCCTCTACATCCAAGGTGCAGTGGCACTTCCGGCGGGAAGGTGGCTCCCGTGGCCCCTGGCCCCAGCCCAGCCCTGATCTCCCCCACCCTGCCCTGCTGCCTGCAGTAATTTCTGGCATCTGTGACGACTACCATCTGGACTTCAACACCTTCTACGCTTGGACGGGCCTGTGGAACAGTTTCTTTCTCGCGCTGTATGCCCTCTTCAACCTCAGCCTGATCATGAGTCTCTTCAAGAGGTGACAGAGCCTTCCCCGACTGCCGGGACCCTCAAGCAGGAGGGCGACCAAGGCCGGGGATCTGGGTCAGCCTCCATGCCGGCCTCTGAGGTCCTGGAGCCCTGGAGTGGATGGGGTGCCCTCACCACATCACTGCCCCAGGAGAGAAGCATGAGACTGGAGGATAGGGGGCTGTTTAGAGGCTCAGGGATGCCTACCTGCCGGCCCCCTGACAACTCACCCCCATTTGCTGAGGCTCTATCACCCCCTGGCAGGTCAACAGAAGAGATCATTGCCCTGTTCATTTCCATCACATTCATGCTGGATGCTGTCAAGGGCATGGTCAAAAGTGAGTGTCTTGCTGGTGGCTACCTGCTGCAGGGGGAGCCCAGCTGAGCTGGGGGGACAATGGGCTGTGGCCAGGGTAGCCAAGCAGCCTGCAAGCTAAGGCTGCTGCCACGGTCCAGGCTGCTCTAGGGAGCTGTGACTAACAGAGAGCGGCAGCCCTGTGTACTGGAGGGTGACCGGGCTGCCTCAGGCAGGACCAGTGGCACCGGCAGCAGGCAAGGCACTGTCAGAGGTGGGGGTGGAGGTGAGCAGGCAGGTCAAGGGCGTCCTGGCTGACTGAGAAAGGCAGTCCCCTCCCTTCTCCCCCTCCCTTCGCCCCTTCCTTCCCCCTCCCCCCAGAAGCCTTTTCTCCCCTCAGGGCCCCCTCTACCCCACATCCAGGAGGAAGCTGGGCCCCAGTCTCCCAGGGCCCAGATGGCTGAGGCCTGCCGGCCTGTGTCCACAGTCTTCCAGAAGTACTACTATGACTACGACTTTGGGAACTACAACGTCGACAGTAGCGCTTCTCTGATGAGCCTGCTGGGCCTCGGCACCAGCCTCAACAGCAGCCTCCGCAGCGCCCTCAACACCAGCCTCCTGCCTAGCCCACCGGAGATGACCACCGTAAGCAGCCCTGCCCCGGAGCACCCAGGCCGGGAGACTGCTGTACTCAGCCTCCTCATCATGCTGGGCACGCTGTGGCTGAGCTACACCCTCTACCAATTCAAGAAGAGGTGAGGGAGGCCGAGGGGTGAGGGGAGGGAGGCATCAGCCCCCAGGCCACGCTGATACACCCGCCTGCGTCCCCAGCCCTTACCTGCACCCCTACATGAGGGAGATCCTGTCAGACTGTGCCTTGCCCATCTCGGTGCTCACCTTCTCCCTCATCTGCTCCTATGGCTTCCGGGAAATTAAAAGTGAGTTGGGCTCAGGCAGGGGGAGCGGCGGGGTGGGCTTGCTCCTGGGGGACTGCAGAGGGCTTGAGCAGGGGCCTGTACCCTGCTGCAGTGAGCCAGTTCCGCTACAATCCCAGCAAGAGCCTGTTTGAGGTGGCCGAGATGCACTCCCTGTCCCTGGGGGCCATCGCCAGTGCCATGGGTCTGGGCTTCCTGCTCTCCTTGCTATTCTTCATCGAGCAAAACCTGGTGGCTGCCTTGGCTAATGCCCCGGAGAACAGGTTTGCAGGGCTGGGTGGGGAGGGGCGGGTGTGCACTTAGCCCCCCCAAGGGGCCACGGGTATCCGGCCACACGCGCCCCTGTCTACCGCAGGCTGGTGAAGGGCACCGCCTACCACTGGGACCTGCTGCTCATCGCCATCATCAACAGCGGGCTGTCTCTGTTTGGGCTGCCCTGGATCCATGCTGCCTACCCCCACTCCCCGCTGCACGTGCGGGCGTTGGCCATGGTGGAGGAGCGGGTGGAGAACGGGCACATTTATGAGACGTGAGTGTGACAGTGCTCCCTGGAGGCCGGAGGCAAGTCACGCGGCCCCTGAGGTGGGGGTCACCCTGGGCCACCTGTGGCCTAGGGAGGGATGTGGCTCGGGACTAGGGCCCCAGAAGCGAAAGAGCCCAGGGCGCCATGTGTGACCCAAGGGGGGGCATGCCCCAGGGGCCGGGGCCGGATCTGACCGGGCGCTCTGGGACCACGCAGGATCGTGAATGTGAAGGAGACGCGGCTGACCACCCTGGGTGCCAGCATCCTGGTGGGCTTCTCCCTCCTGCTGCTCCCCTTCCCTCTGCAGTGGATCCCCAAGCCTGTGCTCTACGGCCTCTTCCTCTACATCGCGCTCACCTCCATTGACGGCAACCAGCTCTTTGAGCGCGTGGCCCTGCTGCTCAAGGACCAGGTGAGTGTCCGGCCTGGAGCATGAGGGGTGGGGGTGGGGGGTGCGGTTCCAGACCTGCCCACGCCTGGTCCCTGCTGCCCGCAGACCTCGTACCCGCCCACCCACTACATCCGGAGGGTGCCCCAGCGGAAGATCCACTACTTCACGGGCCTGCAGATCCTGCAGCTGCTGTTGCTCTGTGCCTTTGGCATAAGCACCCTGCCCTACATGAAGATGATCTTCCCCCTCATCATGATTGTCATGATCCCGATCCGGTACAGACCCGGCTGGAGGGGGGTGTGTGGAGAGACTGGTTAGGGAGGGTGGCGGGGCCAGAGGGACCCAGCCCGGCCCTGGGGGGGTCTTGAGGGGAGCGGCCTCCGCCTTCTCCTCTCTGACCCTCTCTGCTCATCTTGCAGTCTGTTCTCTCTCCCCACAGCTACAACCTGCTGCCCCGAATCATTGAAGCCAAGTACCTGGACGCCATGGATGCTGAACACTGAGTCCCTGACTGGCGGGCGGTGGCCGGGTCCCATCCGCCTGTCCCTTGGGCTCTCCCCAGGCTGACTGTGGCCATGTGGGGAGAGGTACAGGGGTCTTTGGGGGTGTTGCTCTGCACTGTGCTCCCCCCAGCTATCCCATCAGGCCTTGGACATCTGGGCATTGGAGTGGGGGCGGGGGGGTCCATGGCATGTGCCCATCCCTGTCTCCATGAGCCTTGCGCTTGGGTCAGTGACACTGCTCAGGACAGCTTCTGCCCAGAGTGGAACTAAAGCAAGACGGATTTTCTTTTGATAAAAGAGTCAGATGCCTGAAAGAGAAACCATTTCCTTGATTGTATAAGGAATTTGCTGTGTGCAACACGAGAGAATAAAGCTCCTGTTTCTACGCTTCCATCTCTGCTGTCCCACGCACCCTGCCCCGGCCTCAGGGGCCTCCTGAGAATAAGTGGGAAGGGGAGGTGGAAAGAAAAGGACCGGTGTGTGCGGAGCGCCGTCTGTGGACCATCTCCTCCGACCCCACACAGTGGGGTCCCGCAGGGAAAGGTGGAAGATCCAGGAGGCCTTGGCGCTGCTGTGTTGCCAGGAAACTGCAGGGGAGGTCCTCTGGGAACAGCACGTGCGAGGGCCCTGAGGAGGACGCTCAGGGCCAGTGAAGGGCCGTGGCTGGTTGGGGGGGGGGGAGATGAGCAGGGCTGATGGCCATGGGCCTGGGCTCCTAGACGCAGCTGCAGAGCAGCCCAGAAGATTGAAAAACGGGCGCACGTAGGTCAGAGCCGCAATTGCCACGTGTCCCCTCTGCTGAGTGGGTACAGATTTTATACGTCGGGGGGCGGGGGTATGGGGTGGGGGGTGAGCGGGCCGATACTGGGGATGAACTGAAGTGGAAGAATCCGAATGGCAGGATGCGGGGATTGGTTTGATGGAAGGGAGGAGGTGCCAGGTTTCTGGCTTGGTCACTTGGTACTTGGTCAGGGTCCATGGCAGCTGCAGGGGGAATACAGATCTGAGACTCAGGAGCGCCCCCTGGCCACCCCTGGGGGCACCGGCGATGGTAGGGCACCTGGCCCACAGACCCTGACACACACCTTACAGGACTTTGGCTTCACAAAGACACCACAGACCTAGGGAGCAGATGAGAGAAGACGTCTGCTACCTATGAATAATAACTAGACATGCTAAGAATTCCTGCAAAACGAGACAAGACCATGACTCCCAAAGCCCGATAAAAAAGGCAAACCTGCGGTGGGGGGCCCCCAAACAGTAACGGGCGGCGAGAATGCCCTTGGGCATCTGAGAGATGCAACCCAACAGTGAGCTGCTATCTTCCACTCATGACTGGCAACAGTGGCCCTGACCCTGGCCGGACGGACAGCAGAGCAGGAGAGGTGCTCTCCCTGGCGCACGGGCTGGGGGAGCGGGGCCTGGGGCGCAATCAGGACCTCATCTTCCAACCGCGCAGCTCTGCTCCTGGGCCGGTGGTGTGGGTCTGAGCATGCTCACGGCGCCGTTCGCAGGGAGCTCAAGGTCAACAAAGGGGTACAGTGTCTTGTGGGCGAGCACAGACAGCTGCTCTGCCCTAAGCTCCATGTCCCCACTCCCATCTATGTGGCCTATGATCCTTTGGGGGCGCCCTCCGCAGTGGCCTGGGTGTTCCCTGCACATAGGGCCATACCCAGAGTCGCCAGGCCAGGAGCAGACAGGTCCCCGGCACCCCACGTCTGAGCCCCAGTCAGACCTCACCGCCAAGGAGACAACTAGAGGCTGGTGCTTCCTGGGGAGACAACCCAGCTGAGCCTCACAGGCAAGTGGGGAGCAAAGGACTCCTGCTCTGTCCTCACCCACACACAACGATGCAGTTTCGGGGAGGAAACAAGAGTTAAACTCGGGCCCCAGGCCATGCTGCCAGGACTGAGGAACAGCGACTGGAAGGGACACCCTCCAGAGCCGCCTGTGGGCACAGAAACAAGCCTGGGAGTGACCCTCACCTCCCGCATTGCACACAACAGGCTTCTCTGAATATCCTCGGGGTGGGCACCTCCTCATCAGAGAAACCTGCAGGAAAGGAAAGGGAGCCACCCCAGGTCCCTGAAAGGCCCTCCCAGAAAATGGCTTCACCAGGTCACAGTGAGGACCTGGGGCAGTGGAGGCAGGCTTCCTGAGGAGCTTGGGGGCCGAGGCTGAACCATGTCATGTCAGCCCAACTGGGGTCAAGACTCCATCCCCCTTCTCCACCATGTATATGAACTTGGCATTATAATCATAAACGAACACTTTGGCCGCTCTCATGTCGTACTGAAATACAGCAAAAGCACTCACCAGCCCGCACTGCCTGCCCCCCCACCCAGCAAACACCACGGAGGCCAGCTGGGTGGTGGCATCCCGCAATAGGTGGGCGGGCGGCGTGGATCCCACCCAGAAAAGACCTGTGGTGACTGGAGACCTCAAGAATGAAAGGAAAGATGCACTACTCCAGCGCCCTTAGCTGCCGCCCCTGTTCACCATCGCCCTGCCCCCCCCCCCCCAAGATGTTTCCTGCTCCTGCCAAAAAGGACTCGGGAGACAGACAACTGCCCAGGGCAGGTTTCAAAATGGACATATCGTTTATTTTGGAGACAAGTGCCTTCCAGTACTTTTATTTGCTGCACTTTTTAAAATGTCTAGGGCTATTTGTGTGGTTCTTCCTGAACCCTCCATCCTGACGTGGCCAGTTTAACATCCAAGGTCCTTTCAGGATCCCAAGCCAGGGGGCTGGAGGATGGACCACTGAATCCCTGAAGGCAAGAGAATGGTGTCCTTTGCCCGAAGTTTCCGCAAGCAGAGCCAGCTGCTCCTCCAAACGGGGCTGCTGAGGCAGCCTCAACACCCCCAGCGAGTGGGAACCCTGCAGGAAGTACCTGGAGGGGTGGCTGTCTGACGGGGGAGGCTTCAGGCTAGCCTTCCCCACATCCCCCGCCAGGGCGATCGTCAGCAGCTACCGGAGAAGTCAGGCTGTCAAAGTACTTCTGCAGCTCGAGCAGGGCCCGGAAGCGATGGGAGATGGTGTTCTTCTCGGCTTTGGGCATCTCCGCATACCTAAAGGGCACCAGGAGCGCCTCAGAGGAGCCCAGACTCAGGGGGTGTGCCTCCCTCACCGCCCCAGAGCCCCAGCTCAAGGAGTTGCCAGGAAAGGGTGGTGGGGCCACCAGCCCCTGCACCAGGGTTAATTTTTAAAAACTGGGGAGATTTCAAATTCCCCTGTAGGTGGAATCCCATATTAATGAGTGTGGATGTCAGACTGGCTCTAGTGTCCAAAAGCCATTAAGGGAAGCCAGGGACTGGGGCAGAAGCTGCATGTTTGATCAGCTTTGTCGTCTGTTGACAGGAAGCAGTGGGGCCTGACGGAGCAAATACGACAGTCCCCTCTCATGTACTGCGGGGGTGGCATGGGACAGGCGGCCACTGGCCACTCCCCCACGTCAGGACTCCAGTGAGGTGAGAACCCCACACCCCACTTGGGTGCTTCAGATCCGCGCTGTCCACTATGTGGCCACTGACCACAAGGAACCATCGGAATTGAAATCTCCCTCAGTTGAATAAAAATAATTTCATTCCTCAGTCACCCTGACGTGTGGGACCGAACAGAGTGGATACAGAGCATTTCTGTCTCTTGCCTGGTTGGACGGCGGGGGGCGGGGGGAAGGGCTTCATGTTGTCCTCAGCCCTGTCTGGCTATTGTGAGGCTTTAGGCCACACTCCTTAAGCACCAGTCTAGGCTCGAACACTGGATTCCAACAATGGCCAACATGTCCAGCGTAAATAAAGGGGACGGGCTTGTGTGAAACACTGAGAACACTTGGCACTGTGGGGGGTTCATGTGGTGTCCCCACTTTTCCACACTAGACAGGGAGGTCAGATCACCGCACACAAGTGCCGGATGTACCCATAATGAGCGGAGGGCAGAGAGGGGGAAGCACTGAAGCCCTGCAGCTGCTCCGCGTCCAGCCCGAGAGCCCAGGACTCCCAGCCCCGCCCGGCTGCCCCTCGGCTGGAGCCCGGCCCATCAGGTTCCCGGAGCCCGCCCCAGCAGAGCTGCCTTCAGCTGGACCAGCAGCCCCCAGCCTGTCCCCGCCCGTGCCTGCCCGCCTGCCCGTAGGCGGGTCGCTGACCCGACCGTGACCGCGGCTCTCCCGACCCCACATCCCTGGAGAGAACAGAGCTCCTTACGTCTGCTCGTATCCATCAGGCTGAAAGCAGGGATCCCAGCCAAAGTCCCGGCAGCCTCGGGGCACCACAATCCGGCCCTGCCAACAAAAGGGAGGGACAGGTATGTCACCGGCCTCAGAGGAGATGCCCCAGGAAGAGGGTTACCAGTAGCCAGTGTGAGTGTGGTTAAGCCCCATTTACTCAAAATATATGGCTTCAAGGGGTCCATGGTACCTGCAAATGTTTGCTGCATACACAAATACAATGTAGTGGGGCAACTCTCCCTCCTTTCTCTCCCTCTCTCTCTCATACACACGGAAGAACCACAAACTTGATCGGCCCAACGATACACTGATAGCCCCAGGGGCCACCCATCCTCCCTAGCTTTCACAAACTGTGACCTCAATGAAGCAGAGTTGACTTGGAAAAACTGATAGAAAACATTTTCTCTTAATAGGAACTTATGAGGCCCCAAACTAAGCAGGTAAGTCCTCTGCCTGCTACTCATTTTAAACAAATGTCTATTTTTAGTGAGAGAGAGAGAGAGAGGGCACGAGCAGGGGAGAGGTAGAGAGAGGGAGACAGAGAATCACCACGTAGGCTCTGCACTGTCCCCTAACGTGGGGCTCAATCTCAATCATGAGATCATGACCTGAGCCCAAACCAGGAATTGGATGCTTGACCAACTGAGGCACCCAGGCACCCCACTACTCATTTTTATTATGCTAAGTGAATAAATTGCTGCATTTCTCAAAATACAAAGGAGGCTCTAATAATTAAATGAAAAAACAGAAATCACTTAGCACAGTGTCCAATACATAATTGACTTTAGTAAATACTGGCTGTAATAGGCAAATTCCAACAGAAAAATGTTACAAAGAGAACAGTTTAATTCGTGTGGGATTTCATGTTGTCATGAAACTTAAAAAATATTAATTTAAGGGGCGCCTGGGTGGCTCAGTCAGTTAAGCATCAAACTCTTGATTTCGGCTCATATCACAATCTCAGAGTTTGTGAGTTCGAGCCCTGCACTGGGATCTGCACTGAAAGCGTGGAGCCTGTTTGAGATTCTCTCTCTCCCTCTCTCTCTCTGCCCCTACCCTGCTTGTGTTCTTGCTCTCTCTCGAAATAAATAAACTTAAAAATAATAATAATAATAATTTTAAAAATACAAAGGAAGGAGCACTTGGGTGGCTCAGTCAGTTAAGCATCCAACTCTAGGTTTCGGCTGGGGTCATGATTTCACAGTTCAGGAGTTCGAGCCTCGCATCAGGCTATATGCTTATAGCTTCAGATCCTCCCTCTCCTCCTCTCTCTGCTCCTCCCCTACTCGCTCTCTTGGTCTTTTTCTCTCTTCCAAAATAAACTTAAAAAAAAAAATACAAGGGAAGTGGTTGAGGATGGGGATTAGCCACAAAACTCCAAATTCTCCAGACCAAAGGCAAATTCCGCTACCGCTAGTGGGGAGCTATGTGACCAAGGCCCACTGCTGACCACTCTGAACCTCACAAACACCACAACTGGTGGGGGCAGGTAATGTTCTCAGCACTGGGGTAAGAGCAGGCCTAGCCTTACCCTCATAGAATGGGCCTCTTATGCAAAACAGGCTTTCCACCAGTAAACAAATTAACAATTACCAAATGCAAAGTGCCTTTGAGGGAACGGACAGGGAGCTGGGCATGGAGTGACCTAGATGGGGAACTCAGTGAGGAGACGCTGTGGCCACATACAGTGCCAGGCAAGAACGTTCCAGGTGGTGGACACAGCTGGTGTCGGGACCCAAGACGGGGAAGGGTGTGGCACGGGCGTTGCTGAAAGGACATCGTGACTGGGTTTAGAAAGCTCGAGAACAAAACAAGCAACAACAAAGCCACCTCAGGCAAAGCAGAGGCTGGCCAGCAACAAAGTGCATGAAGCAGCCGGAGCTGGGGAGACGAGCGGGAATGGGGGCCCCAGGGAGCAAGCCCCATCAGCAGGGCGGGCGGTCACTCATGCTTCTGATTTTTTTGCGAACACTTCTGTGAAAGTAGCAGACGACTACGACTAATTTCTCCCGGCAATTATGAACCAGCAATCCTGGCTCTGGGCAGACAGCCAAAAGAACTGAACACAAGATCTTCTCAAGAGGTATCTGCACCCCATGTTCATAGCAGCAATATTCACGACAGCCAAATGTGGAGGAGATCGAAATGCCCATCGATGCATAAATGGACAAAACAAATGTGAATATACATACAATGGGTATTATTCAGCCTCAATAAAAAGGAGGAATTCTGTCACACGCTACAACACAAATGATCCTTGACGGACATTATGCTAAGAAATAAGCCAGCCACAGAAAGACAAATACTGTATGCAGGATTCCACTTATAGGAGGGGTCTGAGGTTGCCAAAGTCTCAGACAAAAGAGGAATAGCAGTTGCCAGGGTGTGGTGGGGAGGGGGAGGGGGGAGTTTTTGTTCAATGGGTATAGTTTCAATTTTGCAGGATGAAAAAGTTTTAGAGATCTGTTATGCCACAGGGAACACATCCTCTCTCCCCACTCACTCTCTAAAATTAAAAAAAAGATGGTGAAGATGGTAATTTTTATGTTTTTTTTTAATCACTATTAAAAAACAATGTATCAGGCAGGGCATGATGAGCTACCCGCGGGCAACCCCCGCGGAGCCTGTGGGGTAGGGCTCTGTGGGCTACACAGGACTGGATTTTATCGTGAGCTGAAGGGACGGGCAGAGGAGTGACGTGCCAAAGGCACCCTCCCAACGCAGGTACCCTCCTGACGCAAGGATGGAAGAGCTGCGCTGTTGGGGGGGGGGGGGACAGGGGGTAGGGGGCAGGGGGCAGGCCAGCCCAGCAGGCAGTCTGGTCCCTGTGAGATGTGGCCGAACTCAAGGGTGTGCCAGGCAGGTGTGGGTGTGTTAAAGCGCAGCTGGGGAAGGACTGAGCGAGAGGGAGGAGTAAGATTCCACAGGAACATGGCAGGTTGGAAAGGCTGTGAGATGCTCAAGGGAAGCTCTGGCCTCAGCAGCTGGATAACAAGCCTGGAGCTGGAAGCAACTGGGGCTGTCCGTGCAGCCCTAGGAGTTGTCACCTTTTCCGTATCTGCTTCCTAGAATGGCGCACAGCGCAGAGCTCTGGGTGTACCAGGCCTCAACAGCCAGGAGCCACTGTGTGTATCCCCCAGCCTCAGGGGTCAAATAGATCTGGGGACTGACAGCACTTCTGGCTGTCATGCCCAGGGGCATGTCTGGGCAAAGCTCTGGGAGATAACTGGCCAGGAGGGCCCTTCCCACCACCCTCAGGCATCAGACCCTGGGCCATCAGCTCGAGCCGCAGCGCCCTCTGGCGGCACATGGGGGAACTAGCGTCAGTACGCACCGAGGTCCGGCCCCTGAACAGGCGCACTGGCTCCCTGGGGTCCCCGGTGCTGAGTGCGAACGTGCAGAGCGCATAGGCAGACTTGTCCTCGAACCCAGCCAGGAGCTGGTGGAGACCTGTGGGGAGACGGGGCAGGAGGAGCAGTGATGTCTCTGTGGCTCAGCTCCCAGCCTTACTCCCCATCCTTGAGGCCTGGATGGGGGAGCCACCAAATTTGGGGAGCTTATACATGTCATCAGATAGGTTTTGTGCTTATAACCCTGAAAATTGGGTGTTGGACACATGGAGCTCATTATTCTATTCTACCACTGTGTACGTTTGAAATGCCCCATAATAAAGTGTGTTCAGAAGTGCCTAAGGAGGGAACTTTTTTTTTTTTTTAAATTTATTTTTGAGAGAGAGAGAGAGACAGCATGAGCAGGGGAGGGTCAGAGAGAGAGGGAGACACAGAATCTGAAGCAGGCTCCAGGCTCTGAGCTAGCTGTCAGCACAGAGCCCGATGCGGGGCTCGAACCCACAAACCGTGAGATCATGACCTGAGCTGAAGTCGGACACTTAACCGACTGAGCCACCCAGGTGCCCCAGGAGGGAACATTTTGACCCACAACTGCAACAGGGCACATACTGCAGGGGCCCAGGAGAGGCAGCCAGTCCCCAGCCCCCAGGCCAGGCCCTCGCTGAGGCAAGGATGGGCCAGCAGTCAAAAGGGTCAGCCCTCTCAGCCAGAATAAACCACAGCCCCTTTGTTGCTAAAACTCACAGTACCAACCCCTGCCCACCTCCCATCTTCTCCGCTAGTTATAGAGAGTGAAACTGAGAAGAACACAGGCTCCATGGTGGGGGCTAGACCCTGAGAGTCCTGATTACTAGTTGGAATTCCTCCACTGGACCACTTCCAGCTTCTCAATTCCCGATAGATAAAAGAAGAGACAAAGGAGATTAATACCTTCAGGCTTTAACTTCTCCAGAAACCACTTTCTGCAAGAGAAATAAAGGTGAATCAGACAACAGGAGCAGATGGATCTTCCTACCATCTTCTCTGGGCCACACTCCCCAGGGATCAGAGCCCGGGGACAGCCACATGACAGGAGGGAAAGTGTCGTAACTCAAATTGAAGAGAAATAATACGAAAAAAGATGGAGGCAAACAGGCAATGCACAGAAGGATCGATACAACCCACGAAGACCTCCGCCTCATTGCCAATTAGGAAAACGCAAATTGAAACCAAATGAGTTAACACTTCACATTCCCCACGCCGCAAAGCACCGGAGCCCTAACAGTCAGTGCTGGTGAGGACGTGGAGCAAATATATGCAGGTGCTATTGCTTTGGCAAACATATTGGCGACCCAAACGTTCAACATATACACATCCAAAACCCAGCAAAAGCACTTCTGCGCATAGGTGCTCCGGCCCCAGCAAAGGGTATTCAAGTTGGGATATCTGTATCCTAGGGATACACAAAGAGGGTGTCCAGGGCACTGGGTAGTTTTAAGGAAATCCATTTTCAGATCTCAACTTCCTTATTTCCTTTTTCCTGAAACTGATCTGCCACGAATGTAGCTCTGCAGCGGGTGGGTTCCCCTTGCCCATCTCCACTTACACAATCACATTCTCACACTTTACAAAAGAAAAGGCATGCCTCTCCCCCCATCCCTAATCCTTCCTCCGGACCATGTGAAATACTGGTGTTGACACCAAGACAGTGAATGACCCACAATATCAGGTAACCAATCATTTCAAAGTTCAGGTGGTTTTGTGGCCAGGGCCCTGCAAGGGGAGCACTCACATGTAGGGGCCAGGGAGGCCCCCAAGGGCGTTGAAGCACAGACAGGTGTCCTCCACCAGTACAGGCCCCTGCACCTGAAGCATAAGGAAATGGAGCTCTGAGACCTGTGACGAGGAGTAGGCCCTGTCCCTAACCGGAATTCCAGGGCCACCCTGGCTGGGGCCAGACCCACAGCTGGCTGGGATCTGCGGCAGCAGGAAACAGCTACAGGAAACAGCCCTGAGCTAATCTCTCATCTTCATTTTAGAGATAGGAACACCAAAAAATGAGCAAGTTGTAAAACTTATTCCAAGCACGGCAACAGGAGAGCTGAGATTCACACTCAGCCAGCCCGACTCTTCACAAAGTGCTCTTTCTCAACTCCACAGAGATGTGTGCGTGCAGCAGTACACAGATGGGGGGCGGGGGGGAGGTAGGGGTTGGAATGTATGTATCTGAAAATCAGAGAGAGAAGTGTGCGCGCGCGTGTGTTGGTCTGGGGATGCTATGCAGTCAGTGTTGAGAAAGGAACAGTCATCGGTCCCAATCTAGCTGGCTGGGAAGGCCCCTGAAGTTCTGACCAGCTGTCTCCACCCTATAATTCTCTGCCTGAGCCCAGCAGTCACAGCCCCTAAGAGCCCCCGGGACACTGGAGCAAGTAGGGGACACGGAAGGAACAAGCACCTGGCGAGCTGCCTCCTGACACTTCTGTATGGAAATCTCGTCAGGCTCCCCCTGGTACTCCGGCACTTATTGGAGAAACAGATACACGAGAGAGTCAGGTCATAGGGAGACAGAGAAGTCGAACCATCTTTCAAAAAGAAAACAAAACAGAGACCTACGGTCAATTTTCTGTGCCACCAAAGTGCACGGAAACTTATCTCCCAGAATCTGAACGACCTGTTTCAAAATGAAAGAACATCGATCACCATTTGTTAACAATTTCCCCGTACTACACAAGCTGTCACCCGCCTTTCTCTTCAGGTAACTCGCCTGCCAGGCTCCTCAGGCTGACCAAATCAGGCCGATGAGCCTCGCTCCAGGCTTCAGGGCCCCACTCCAGCAGGTCAGCTCCCCATCTCCTGAGCCTCCCACCCCTCCGACTTCAGGTCTCTGTTCATGTTACCAGCCACACGCAATACCCTCTCCCCTTCTCCCTGCTTCCTGCAACTCTACCTAGCCTCCTATTCCAGTTCTCTGTCAGGGGTTACCCAGAATTCAAGAAGCCTGCAAATCTAGACAGGAAAAAAATACCTCTTTACTTTCATAAACCCCTAGCTGAAACGTAGCATCGCTTTCAATTGTGAATATAGAAAACCAAAACAGCACCAGCAGTTTCTGTGACCTTTAAACCTATTCAAATCACACATGTGGGTGCCTGGGTGGCTCAGTCAGTTGAGCATCCGCTCTTCGTTTCAGTTCAGGTCATGATCCCAGGGTTGTGGGACTGAGCCCTGCATCAGGCTCCATTTTAAGTGTGAAGCCTGCTTAGGATTCTCTTGCTCCCTCTCTCCTTCTCTCTCTCTCAAAATAAAATATAAAAAATAAAAATAAAATCACACATGTTGTCATATTCCATTACAGCTATAACAGAATCTCAAAATAATACTTACAATACTCTTTTAAAATTATGGTAACTGGGGCGCCTGGGTGGCTCAATCAGTTAAGCATCCAACTTCAGCACAGGTCATGATCTCACATTTAGTGAGTTCAAGCCCTGAGTTGGACTCTGCGTCGACAGTTCAGAGACTGGAGCCTGCTTTGGATTCTGTGTGTGTGTGTCTCTCTCTCTGCCTCACCCCCATTCGTGCTCTGTCACTCTCTCTCAAAAATGAATAAAAATTAAAAATAATAAATGAATAAAATAAAATTATGGTAACTACACACACTGCTAGAATGAATCCTTTAATGCATTAATAAAGTATACTAGACCACAAATATTTATATTTTGAACTGTTTCCTTTTTTTTAAATTTTCTTTACTTATTTTGAGAGAGAACGAGCACACAAGCTGAAGAGGGCCAGAAAGAGGGAGAGACAGAATCCCAAGCAAGCTCCATGCCATCAGTGCAGAGCCTGATGCAGGGCTCAAACTCACAAACTGTGAGATCATGACCTGAGCCAAGCTCAAGAGTTGGGACACTTAACCAACTGCGCCACCCAGGTGCGCCTACAGATATTTATATTTTGAGAACTGTATTTCAATAGAATTAATTTCCTTTGTAATCCTATGTATTTTACTCTGTGTGTTTAACAATTTTCCTGGAAAAGCGTCCATAGGCTTCATCAGCCGACCAATGGAGTACTATGGGATGAAGAGTTAAGACACCCTGTTCTGAGCCAACTTCAAGTCCATGTTCTCCAGCGAACCTCCTCTGGCCACTCTAGCTCCTTCTTAAAACGTAGGAAGGCCAAATTCTCAACCAAAGACAGTGATGGGGCTGTCACCATCCTGCAGGGGGCTCTGTGCAGCGTGTCACTACTTTGTCTGACTTACCTGGCCTCAGGATCTCAAATTTTTTATTAGCACAGGGCTCTAGTTGCTGAGTAGGACACTCTGTACTGGCACAGAGGTGCTATCATTCTCTATGCTGCAGACAAACGAAGGGACCCCTAATGTCTGCAGCCCACTCATCTACCTCACACATATCTAGTGGATGTCACCCTGATTTTGCACCAAGACTCACGGCTGACTGAGCAGGGGCAAACCCCTGACCCAAGCAAAGCTAATCAGAGCTAATGCATGGCAGAACCCTCACTGCCTCCTCCAGCAGGAGGGAGGGAAGCAGAAAAACACCAGTTGGAAAGGGATGGGCATCCAGAGAGCTACAAGGACTAGAGAGGTGCTTGAGAGACTCCAGTCTTGTGGGACATCACACTGTAACATTGTATTCCCAAGAAGAGTCACCTGGTGGTTTATATAAACTCCTGGTGCGTCTCTATTACTTACTGCCAAAGGCTATCCATCCACCCGCAGAATCCTCACAGCTAGCCACAAATTCCCAGAGGAACTCTGGATCCATTGCCTCTCTCACTCCTCCTCCCCACTGGTTTGTGAAACAGATCTCTCCAATCATCCCCATTTCAGAGAAGGAAGTAGGCTTGGAGAGGCTGAGGGCCACATTTCTGGACCGTGGTGGGCGTGGACGGCTCACTTTGGATGCCTGCCCCACGCTCTGTCTGGCCCCTGGCACTTCTGGGTCGGCAGGGCGGCCTGAATCAGCTGCAGAGGGGTGTCAAGAGGCCCGGTTTGGGGTGCGGCTTTACAGGGTACCTTTGGGACAGGTACTATGCGCCTGGCACTCCTCTGGCTCCCGCAACCCCGAGCTCACAAGCCCGGATCTGTCAAGGCCAACCACCGGCCAGCCCCACTTTGCACACACACGGCAGGTTCACTCCGCGAGGCCCAGCCCGTTTCACGCCCCCGGGTCCGCCTCTCCGTGCCCCCTCCACCCGGAGACCGCTTCTCCGCCCTATCCCCAGCCGGCCCTGCCACACGCTACCCCCCAGCCGCCTACTGGCTGGCCTCCCGCGCCCTCCCGGCACCTCCTCCAGCTTCTTGGCGTTCCCCGTGACAAACACGATCTTCTTCCCGGCTAACGGGCCCGCCATGCTGATCCCAGTGCCTGACCCACCGGAAGCTCCTTTGCCTCGAGTGGAGGGCACTTCCGGCCGGTGAGGAAGCGGGAGGCGCGGCTTCCGGCTTCGGGTCCGGGACAAGGCTCTTTAGGCTCCCGTGTCTGCGGCAGCCTAGCTGCCTTCACGGCGAGGAGGCTTAGCTGGGCGCCCGGCTTCCTTGCTCAGATCCCGGGGAGCAGAGCGCCTCTTATCGGGATGAACAGCCTGGGGCGCCGGGCGCTAGAAGGGAGGAAAATGGCGCGGCCCGTCTGCGCCGGACTTGCGAGATCTTCCCGAGACTGGCGGTTGAGACCAGGCCCCCCCGCCAAGGGGCGCTCTTTTCGAGGACCGGAAGAGACCATTGCGACCACCGGCCCCACCCCAGCTGTCTCCCTACTCTGGGAAGGGGACACCGAGGGAGGTTAAGAGCCTGCACGGTAATGAGCTGCAGGTCCTGTGCGTTGTGCGGTTCGCCTTCGCGCCCGCCTCCAAATCTGCCTCTGAGAGCTGTTTCCTTCCGGGGAGGACCTGCAAACCTGGGTCTTTATCCTGACCTCCCCTTCAGCCCCACTCCCTTGTCTCCTTTCCCGTCCGCTCTGTCTGGGTTTAAAAAACAAAAACTTGGGGCGCCTGGGTGGCTTAGTCGGTTAAGCGTCCGACTTTCACTTGGGTCATGATCTCGCGGTTCGTGGGTTCGAGCCCCGCATCGGGCTCTGTGCTGACTGCCAGCTCAGAGCCTGGAGCCTGTTTCAGTCTGTGACTCCCTCTCTCTCTGATCCTCCCCTGCTCATGCTGTCTCTCTCTCTCTCCTAGAAATAAATAAAAAATATTTAAAAACAAAACAAAACAACAAAAACTTGTTTTAAATTAAGATATAGTTACCATATAACACTATATCAGTTTCAGGTGTACGACAAATGATTTGATCTTTGTGTATATTTGGAAGCGTTCACCTCAATAAGTCTGGTTAACATCGATCACCTTACATTGTTACGAATTTTTTTTCTTGTGATGAGAACTTTTTAGATTTACTGATTTTCAAATATGCAGCACAGTGTTAACTATAGTCAATGTGCTACCATGCTGTTCATCTCCAGGAGTGTTTATCTCACAACTGGAAGTCCGTACCTTTCAACCCCCTTCACCTGTTTTCTAATCACCCAACCATCAATCTGTCTTCTCATTATCTATGAGTTTGTTTCTTTTAAATACTTTTTTTTTGAGAGAGCACAAGCGGGGGAAGGGCAGAGAGAGGGAGACAGGAATCTCAAGTGGGCTTTCCACTGATAGCAGCAGGCCTGATGGTGGGGCTGGGAATCAAAAACCGCAAGATCATGACCTGAGCTGAAGTCGGAAGCTCAACTGACTGAGCCACCCAGGCACCCCTGTTTTCATTTTTTTTAGATCCCACTACTTGCCTTTGAATTTAAATTTGGCATAACCTAAAACAAATCTGGTCTCTTCACCTATCTCCCAAGCTTGGGACCTCAGTGTTTTGGTTCCCTCATTACCTCATCCCTACAGCCTCTCAAATCCATCATGCCTGCTCCATGCCCACTGCTTCAGCCAGTTCTTTGCATCCAGAACCCAGTGAAGGGGTACAGGATGAGATGCCTCAAAATGTGCTACTGTGGCATGAAGATTATTCCGAATTAAAAGTAATAAAAACGCAATAGATTCAGGAGAGGCTCTCTGCCTACCCCTTAACTGTTTAAATTTACATTGGAAAGGAGAGCCTGCAACAGGAAGAGAAGTTCCTCTTTTCTTCCTCCCCTCCCCTTTATGAAGGAATTTATCTGCATAACAGAGCAGCCTCATTTCCCCTCCCCCCCCATATCCCTTTTCACCTTCTTTCTAATGAATTTTCTTCACTTTCTATCCTCAGTCCCCTACCCCTTCTCCTTAGTTCTAGTAAGCAGCACATTGCCTCTTTGTCTTATTGGAGGCAGCAATTTCATTGTCTTGGAATGTCTTGTCTATGTGGATTCCCTATACACATGCCTATTATTACTTTCTCCTCTTAATCTGTTAAGTCCATTTGATTCTAATCCCTGCTAGAAGGACTGTAGGACACAGGAAGATCTGTCTCCCTGACGGTAGCAAAGAGTAGGAAGTGCCCCAGCAGACCTTCTTGTACAACGAGCCTTGACCCACTGCTGACATCCCCACTGAACAAGTCACCTATCTCCTTCCTCCAGGGACTCAGCAAGCACAGGTTAACAGCAAGAGTAGATTCAGGGCCATTCTCTCCTGGTGAGGAAACTCCTGACAGAGGAGCATCAGTCAGAGGTCTGTCGGTGCCTAGATGAGTTATTTTGCTTAATGTTCATGTCCTCTGATAATCTCAAAAAATTTTTAGAACCCCCTCCTCCCCAAATATGTCAGGGAACATCAAAAAACTCCATGTTCTCTAAAAATCTTTGGTCAGTGGCCTTACTATAGCAGGAATGTTGCAGAGGCCAAAAGGCATTACTGTGTCCTGGGGGAGGGGGGTCCCGGGGGTTGGGGGTGAGGGGTGGGTTCTGAAGTTTCCTGTTCAGGCAATTTGGTGATGCAATGTATGAGAGTCATTGGAGTTGATCTGAAGTTGGGTTAGAGTCGGGGAGTGAATGGCCCTTCCTTTATGTCATTTGTCTGCCTTCTTCATGCAGTCATGGGGAATCCCCAGGAGAAGTCTCCCCAGGGAGCAGAGGAGGTTCCTCTCTGCAAAGCTGACCTCCTGGCTGTCTAAAGCTTCAGTTACAACCTCAGGCAAGAAGCTGTTTGCCAGGGACGTTTGTCTGGTGTACCACACAAACAGGTGCCACACAGTATGGTCAGTGCAAGGACCCGGGGAGCACTGGGTGCGAGGGGAGTCATCACTGAGATTGGGGGGGTGTGGACAGTCACCCAGCCAACCGTTGGAGCCCACAAAGGATTATTAAGCAGGGAATATTGTGAGTGGGTATTCACTTCCCTTAGATCTCACTCTAAAGCTGAAGGCCTAGGAGTATGAGAACTTGTGGGGAGAGAGGAGACACATGGATACCTGTAATTCACGTGAAAGTTTGTGTGTACAAAATCTTTAGGACTCTTGGATCCTCCTAATCAACAACAAAATGAAAAAGAAATGAACTGATTGGTTCATTTAACTGATGAGCGAAGGTATAAAGAGATAGTCAAGTTTATAGTTAACTGAGAACAGAGAGAAAGGGGATTGCAATAGTTCATTCATTAAACAGACTTTGCTAGAGTTCAAATATGTGAATTTTTACCACCTAAAATTTAGTAAGGATTATAACAGGAAATCTCTCTGTAATCATACACCCTTCTGTTGTGAGGGAAATCCAGTTAAGCAAAGAAGGACTATTCTTGCTCTCAAAGCAGCTCCTTAGGTCCTCTCAATTCTACCTCTGAAATAGTTGTCCAGCCAGTCCCCTCCTCTTCAACCCCCACTGCTAAGGTCATGAACCCAGCCCTGTTTTGTTCATACCTGGACCCAGGCAGCAGCTGTCTCCCTATTGACCCTCTCATGTTCCACCCCCTCCACAAACCATAATGACCTGCTTGGGCTCCGGGATTCTGAGAACTCTAAATGAAAGCTGTACAAATTATATCTGAGGCAGCAAGGAAGAGCTATTTCTATTGACCGTTTGCCCTTCCAGAAACTTTTTGCGCGCATGCAAATTACCCACAAAAATGTTATGAAGTTTTAATTTTTAGGTTTTAAAAGAAGTTTATGTGTTTTATTAATCTCTACATCCAAAGTGGGGCTCAAACCCATGACCCTGAAATCAATTAAGCCAGCCATGTGCCCCATATTTTTTAGTGTTTTGTTGTTGTTTGTTTTGTTTTTGAGAGAGAGAGAGAGCGCGCACAAGCAAGGAGAGGGGCAGAGGGAGAGAGAAAGAATCTCAAGCAGGCTCCATGCTTGGCATGGAGATTGAAGCAGGGATCTCCATTCCACGACCCTGGAATTAAGACCTGAGCTGAACTCAAGAGCTGGGTGCTCAACCAACGGAGCCATCCAGCACTGCTATAATTTTAAATTTTCAGTAAAGCTTTTTTTTATAGGAAATTTCTTTTTTTTTTCCATTTTTTAAAATGTTTTATTTATTTCTGAGAGAGAGAGGCAGCATGAGCAGGGGAGGGTCAGAGAGAGAGGGAGATACAGAATCCGAAACAGGCTCCAGGCTCTGAGCTGGCTGTTAGCACAGAGCCCGTCGCAGGGCTCCAACCCACGAACCGTGAGGTAATGACCCGAGCTGAAGTCGGACACTCGACCTACTGAGCCACCCTGGCGCCCCTGGGAAATTTCAACTTACGCAAAAATGTCAAACTTAGCAAAAATAGAAAAAGCCCCATTACCCAACTTTACCAATTTTAAACATTTGCTATTTTTATTTTGTATCCTGGCCTGTTTGCTTGCTTAAAATTTAAAAATGGAAATTATGAAATATTCCAAAGTTACAGAAAATAATAAAATAGATGCTGAAGTTCCCATTATTCCAGATTAACAGATGTTAAAATTTTAACATGGTACCATCTTTTTTCAAATCTTACACTTCATACCGTTGGTCTTTGATCTTTGTGTTATCACACACACAAAACTTCATATTACTGTTAGAGCAAATTCCCAGTAATTGCTATTTGCTTTTTTAAAAATCTTGAAGAGTGCCTGGTTGGCTCAATCGGTTAAACATCTGTTGCTTGGTTTTGGGTCAGGACATGATTTCATAGTTTGTGGGGTCAAGCCCCATGTGGGGATATGCACTGTCAGCTTGGGATTCTCTCCTCTTTCTGCCCCTCTCCCCACTCATGTACGCTCTCTCCCAAAATAAATAAATAAACCTTGAATAAAGTCTTGAGTTTACATCCTGCCTCTTGTTTTTTTTTCCCCAAACAACTTTATTGAAGTATAATTTGTTCCTAGCTTTTAAGTAATTCTTTTTTTTTATTTAAAATTTTACTTTAGAGAGGGAGGAAGAGAGCATAAGCAGAGGAGAGGGACAGAAGGAGAGAGAGAATCTTAAACAGGCTCCACTCTCACTGCAGACCCCAACAAGGGGTTTGATCACACAACCCTGGGATCATGATCTGAATCTGGGATCAACTGAACCACCCAGGCACTTCTTTAAATAATTCTTTTTTTTTTTTTATAGTTTATTGTTAAGTTGGTTTCCATGTAACACCCAGTGCTCATCCCAACAAGTGCCCTCCTTCATGCCCATCACCCATTTTCCCGTCTCCCCCATCTCGTAAACCCTGTTTGTTCTCAGTACTTAAGAGTCTCTTATGGTTTGTCTCCCTGCCTCTAAATAATTCTTATGAATTAAAGGAAAACGAAAATCTCCTTGGGTATTTAAATTTTGAGTGCTCGCTATGAAAAACTGGGTCACTAATTCTTATATTAGTCTAATAAAGCTAATTTTATGTTAAAATAAGTATAAAATTGCAGGTCTGGGTACCAAAATATATCCCTATTTAAATAGAAGATTTGGTCTCTGCGCCTCCCTTCCTCCCCTTGTAACGAAATTATATGTCACTGATATAGGCAAATCCCTGCTCTTAATCCCATCCATCGCCTCCCTCCTCAAAGGTAACCTCTACTCTGAAGTTGGTGTGTATCATTCCTAAGCATCTTATTGTACGTTTTCCACATATGCATGGTTCCATAAACACTGTGTGATATATAAATGTTGTCGCACTGCACAAAATCGTTTGCAATAATTTCCACCCGAGGGTATGGGTATTTTTATGCCTCCCAACGTCCTTAGGGTAAAAAAAAAAAAAAAAAGAAGCCTCCGTAGAAGTGCGCGGTCTGGGCGGGGCCTCGTGGTGGGCGGGGTCTGGGTTGGGGTGGGAGGGGCCATGTGGACGTTGGGCGGGGCCCGGGGGATCCGGGGCATCAGGGTGGACTCGTTGGTTCCGGCTGAAAGCTGTCGTCATGGTGGCCCCCGTGGTGTACTTGGTGGCAGTGGCTCTGCTTGTCAGCCTTATCTTCTTCCTGACCCGCATCAGGGGCCGGGCAACAGCAGGTAGGAGACACCGCCGTTCCAGGACCGGTGGGGACGCGTTCTCTGGCCTGAGCCTTTGTAGGCCATCGCACCGCGGCTCCTGCGCATGCGCTGGTCTTGCCTGGCTGGACTGACGCGGTGCTCGCGCCGGATGGCGCCAGTCGCGCTTCAGGCCAGCTGCACGCATGCGCATACTTGCGCGTCTGGGAGCTGGCGGAGGCACGCAGTGCTCAAACCTTAGTCGCGGACTAGATGGTAGCGCCCTTACACCTTTCTCCCAGCCTCAGTGACGGCTTCCTTCAGTTCCTCTCCTCGGCTCCCGGCACGCCGGACCCAGAGGGGCCAGGCCCTGGCGGACACACTCCCATCCCTTACTGGGGCTGTCCCCCTGTGCACCCGTAGGAGACGCCGTCCCACCCAGTGTGGCTCCACAGTGGATGCCACGAAGGGGGCACTTGAGTGTTTTGTGCTTACCTACGAGCTGTAACTTCCTGAATCTCCCTCTTTCCCCCTCGAAGAGAGCCCCCTTCCTGTTCTGTACCCTGACCAGGGGGCCATGTCAGCTGCCAGGGTGCAGAACAGATACTCCTGCCATCCTCTTCCTCCCATCACCTCCCATTTCCTGTCATCGTACGGATTTGTGTATATGTCTCTTCCCCTCCTTGGGCCCACAAGCTACTTGAGACCACCTACATGCTTCAAGGGCAGGAGAGAGAAAGCTGAGGTAAGGCAGATCGCCAAGAAGTCTTCCTGGAAGGGAAGACTCAGCCCACCAGGAGCGGGTGTGCTCCCGGCTGGCAGCCTTATAAAACTATGGCAGGTGGTGTTCAGACAAGCAATAAATGCAGTCCTGCAGTGGGCTGGAGAGGTCAGGGTGAGCTTCCTGGAGGAGGCAGGGCTTCATCTCTGTCTTGCAGGGTGGTAGTATCCTGACAGGCCAGCTGGAAAGGCAGTGACAAAGGCAGGAAGGAATGGATGATCTTGCTGCATAGGACCAAGGTGCGGGTCTGGGTTATAAAGGCCTTACGATCTGGGAAACTGGAGCTTTGTGCTCTGGGCAGCAGGAGCGTGGAGAAGGTTACGTGGAGAGCGAGGCATCCGAGGTGCCGCTCCCTGCCACCAGGTGCATTGGGCTGCTAGACAGTGTTGTGGTTCCTGTCTTCCCTACAGCTGGCCAGGAGTCCTGGCACAACGAGGAGCAGCCCGTCGCCCCAGGCTCAGTGGCCCAGCCTCGGCCCCTGGAGTCTGAGGAGCAGAGAGCAGGGGCCAGGCCCCGGCGCCGGAGGGACCTGGGCAGCCGCCTGCAGGCCCAGCGTCGAGCCCAGCGGGTTGCCTGGGCAGAGGTGGATGAGAATGAGGAGGAGGCCATCATCCCAGGTGAGAGGGGCCCAGCCTGGAGGGGAAAGGGGCTGTTTGAGGGCATGAGGGGACCTCCAGAGCTGGATGGAAGAACGAGTGGGGTGTGAAGCGACAGTAGAGGAGACGTGTGGGAGCCACAGGATGAGGGGATCCTCATCCTGGGGTAGGGGAGACTTGAGACCCATCCTTTGGTCCCAGAGACCGGCAGTTTGGACCCTGACCCCTATTCCATCAGGCCACCCCCGTCTTCCTTCATCTTGGCTTTCAGTGTCTAAGCAGGAGAGCAGGGGTCTTCCGACTGACCCGGAGAGTTCCTTACTGTACTTCTCATCCCTGGAACCTTAGTGGTTTCTGCACACAATTTTCCGAGCCTCACTCTAGGGCCAGAGGGCTTAGCCAAGAGCTTCTGTAGTTCCTGAAGGGAGATCACCTGTGTTTGGGGTTGGAGCCATTTTGTCGACAGAAGCTTCCATATCCCTGGGAGACCAACAGAACCCCTGGGATTGTGGGAAAAAATATCTCTTCTCCAGTGCTCAAACCTGGCGTGAGCCTGAGGAAGAGGCATTTGGGGCTTTTGCCCTTGCACTTCTGGGAATTAGCCCCTTTTGACGCAAAACAGAGGCACTCTGTGGTACCATCCCTCTTGTCTCAGACTGGGATCAGACATTCCTGCTGCTAGGGCATCCACAGTTAAGCTTTAGCTGGCCTTAACTTTAGGCAGTCTTGGGGTTGGAGCTATCTCTTTTGGCCAGGGACTGAGCCCAGAACCCTCAGCCATTCCTGACCACAGCGAGGGCAGTTTCAGATATGAGGTGGGGATACATGTCCCCATGGGGCCATCCCTCCCTGGAGGTTTGGCTCAGAAACAAACCAGAGAACTCTGCAAGCCCAGATATGCCTGCCTGTGATTTTCAGACACTCAGATATCGGAACCCAACACCTCGCTTTTTGTGGCTCTGCAGCATTTAAAGTTATCGTCTGTTCCTTTGCCCCATCATTCTCTCACCCTTCCCCCCACCTTACCTGCTACCCTCAACACAGACACACCCTGCACACACTCTCTAGCATATGCACACTCAGAGTGTGAATGTCTACGTTCATGGCACATGTCTTTGGAGGGTAAAACTGGGCTCATGACAAGGTGGGAGGAAGGGGATCCCCCCCCATGTGGAGACGGACAAGGGGTAGGATGGACCCATCATCTCATCAGCCCTCTCCAGGAGCTGAGATGTGTTTCTTTGGCCGTACTCAGCCCAGGAAGAAGAAGGTATCGAGAAGCCAGTGGAAAGTCACCTGTCAGGGAAAATTGGAGCCAAGAAACTACGGAAGCTGGAGGAGAAACAGGCGCGCAAAGCGCAGCGTGAGGCAAGCAGGAGGGATGGGGTGCAGCTCTGGGAAATGGGAACGGGTCCTGCGTTCCTTGTCCCCCACGTCAGAGCCTCGCCTTGGGCTCTTTGCACGCTGCTTGCCTGGCTCTGTCTCCTGCAGCGTGGGTCTGTGGTCTGGCAGACCTGCCTGCCCTGGCCTGTGTGTGAGGTGGGCAAGCTCTAGTTGGGGGTGGGAATCTGCCCGCTATGAAGGCCTCTCTCCAGGCAGAGGAGGCTGAACGGGAGGAGCGGAAACGCCTTGAGTCCCAGCGTGAGGCAGAGTGGAAGAAAGAGGAGGAGCGCCTTCGCCTGGAGGAGGAGCAAAAGGTGAGGCAGACACCCCTCCCCTCCCTGACTTCTGAGCCCTGACCAGGCAGCCTTGCTTCCTGTGCAGCCCCCCACCCCTCTAACCTAGAAGATGGGCCATGGACCAGGTTCAGGAGCAGGCCCCAGTTTATTTGGCCTTGGACTCTAAACTCGACCTGTATACAGCTGCTGCTGAAAAGCAGAGCCTGAGATGGGGACTTTTGTTCATTTGTCTTATTGAACATACCATTTAAAGGAAATTGAGCATTTAAAGAAAACTGAGATGGCTGGAGGGGCTGGAACAAGGTAAGCAAGAAGGAGAGGGGTCAGAGAGGGGGTGGGGTCTGGACCCTAAGGGCCTCGAAATTGTTAAATTGTAAGAGCAGGTGGGTCCTGCCTGAGCCTGGTCCTGTTTAGGGCCTGCTGTGAAGGAGGTAGATGCTCAGAGAAGGGGAACCTCTGCAGTAAAGGTGGTTAGCGAGCATGTGTTTGCCAGTTGCTCCTTTCTTTCTGAGAACCAGTGCCTGAGAAAGGGACCATCACAAAGCGGTGATGGTATATAGAGAGCTAGGGCTTCCCAGCTGGGAACACCTAGCTGGGTGCCCTTGGCCTCTGACTGGCCCTATTGTCTGGGGACCCTGGATAGCAGAAAGCCTGGCTGTGGGTGCGATAGCAAATGGGCTAGAACACAGCAGAGAGGAAGCATTAGTGGAAAGGGTTTTTTACTTTTCTGAATATTGATATTGTATAACGGGCCTTAGATGACCTGGGAATCTCCTTTCCTGCACAGTTTCCTGTTATTAACATCTTATCTTAGTGTGGCATGTTCCTCACAATCGATACTGATACATCATTTGTTTGTTTGTTGATGTTTATTTTTGAGAGAGAGCGAGAGAGCGCACGCGAGTGGGGGAGGAGCAAGGAAAGTTGGGGGGACAGAGGATTGAAGTGGGCTCTGCGCTGACAGCAGAGAGCCCGATGTGGAGCTTGAACTCCTGAACCATGAGATCATGACCTGAGCCAAAGTTGGATGCTTAACCAACTGAGCCCCCCGGGCTCCCCACTGACACATTGTTTTCACTAAACCCCATACATTTTTTTTTTTTAATGTTTTATTTATTTCTAGGAGAGAGAGAGAGAGACAGCGTGACCAGGGTAGGGTCAGAGAGAGAGGGAGTCACAGACTGAAACAGGCTCCAGGCTCTGAGCTGGCAGTCAGCACAGAGCCCGACGCGGGGCTCGAACCCACGAACCGCGAGATCATGACCTAAGCGAAAGTCGGATGCTCAACCGACTAAGCCACCCAGGCGCCCCTAAACCCCATACATTATTCACATTTCATTAACTTTCCTTCAGTATCCTTTTCCGTTTCCAAGGTTACGTCCAGGATACCACATTACATGTAGATACCCGGTCTCCTTAGGCTCCCCTGGGTTGTGACATTTTCTTAGCTTTTCCTTGCTTTTCATGATCTTGATAGTTTTGAGGAGTATCACGCAAGTATTTTATAGAACGTTCCTCAATTTGCATTCGGCTCATGGTTTTTTTTCTCATAACTGGGCTGGGGTTACAAATTTCTGAGCGGAAGGTCACAGGTGAAGTACCATTCTCAGCATATCAGAGATACACGCTGTCAGTTTGTCTCTGCTGATGTTAACCTTGATTGCTTGGCTCAGGTTGTATTTGCCAGCTTTCTGCACTGTATCACTCCTGCCTTCTGTACTTCTTTGGGAACAAGTCACCTGCACAGCCCACACTTAAGGGGTGGGTAGAGTTATTCTCCACCTCTTTGAGAGGATGGTATCTACACGAAGTACTGGGAAAATTTTTTATACCAGAGCTATACTTTCTCTTTTCTATTTATGTAGTTAATTGTTTGCTTGTTTCTACGTGGACTAGCGGATCTTTCTTTTGTATGTTGTGTTAGGGTCCAGTATGATCTTATTTGTTTTATCCTCTAGACTATTGGGAGCTCTTGCAGTTGGCTCCCATGTACCTTTCACGTAACCTCATCGTTCGGTTTCCTGAGTACTTTCTTTCTTTCTGGCACCACAAGATGCACCAGGCTCATTCTATATGTTCCTTGCCCCAGCTTTAGCTACGTGTTTTAAAAAGATCTTTTTAAGAGCTGTGGAAAATCGGATGGCTTAGGGGGAAGCTATGGCACTAGGTGGTGGTGGTGGTGGTGACTGAGTGACATGGAGGGACTGAGAAGTTTTCCAGAAGTTGAAGGCAGAAGTGGTAGATAGGACTTTATTTCTGACCAGCTGGCCAGATGGCTGTGTGACTCACTGAGCCAAGGACCCAGGAGGAGGACCGGACGTGTGGGGAGTAGATCACGAGGTCTTTCTGGGACATAACGCAATTTGAGGTGCCTGTGAGATGGCCCAGTGGGTGTGTCACGTGGGAGGAGAGATCCGGGCAGGGGTACAACTGTGGCAGTCACTGGCAATGAGGTGCCTTTTGATGCTGTGGGCATGGCAAGGTAGCCCGAGGAAGTGGAGGAGGGGGTAGAGACAGGCCTGAGCGAGGAGGAGGTGGGTAGAATGGCCCAAGGGGCCGGAGGAAGTCCCGGAGCGGTGGGGTCTGCAAGCCAAGCAAGGGAAGAGGAAATGGCCAGCTCTCCCGGCACCACTGAGAGGCTGAGACTGATGGTTGTCCCTTGGATTTGGTGGGACGGAGGGCAGGGGTGACACGGTAGCATTTGTCGGTTTGGTGGAGAGCCAGACTGGAGCGGGCAAGAGGGGTAAATGGATGATGAGAACATGGAGCCCGGGTGTTTGTCCTTGAAGTTCAGATGTGATGGGGGGCGGGGGGGGCGTCACGGAAGGATTTTCAAGGAGAGGGTGCTGAGCGGCTGTCCTGGGTGTACTGGGACTGGTGTGAAGACGGGCCTCTGCCTGCAGCTCAGCTTGAGGGTGAGGGAGCAGAGTCTTGAAGGACCTGCACCCCTGAGAGAGGGTTGGACTGTGTGCCCTGGTGTGCTCTGGGGGCAGCAGAGCCCAGAATGGGGATGGGTGGGCACCTGCCCCCCAGTACCTGACTCTTGTCCGCAGGAGGAAGAAGAGAGGAAGGCCCGGGAGGAGCAGGCCCAGCGGGAACATGAGGAGTACCTGAAATTGAAGGAGGCCTTCGTGGTGGAGGAGGAAGGTGTGGGCGAGACTATGTCTGAGGAACAGGTGGGTCCACGCGGCCCCTGGGACGCCCCTCCCTGTGCCCGCCAAGCCCCCCACCCCATCCCACGTGCCCCATTGCTCCTTGCCTGCCGTGCTTGTCGGGCAGTGAGAAGTGGGTGGGCGGCGGGCCCAGCGGGCTCTAGCGGCCAGAGGCCTTGTCCTCAAGAGAGGCGATGCCTCCCACCCCTCACCATGGGAAGCTCTGCTCACACAGGCAGCAGGCTCGTGGGCTGGCAGAGAGCCCTGTGGCCCCTGCAGCGGGGACATTGACCCTGATTTCTCTACCCCTCTAGTCCCACAGCTTCCTGACAGAGTTCATCAACTACATTAAGGTAAGAAGCCACAGGACAGAGCCTGGGGGTGCGGCCCCTGCCCCACGCGTACGTGGCGTGTGTGAGTGGCGTGTGTGTCTGTCGCATGTGCTCTCTGGGCCTGGAGGGAGCAGACTGGAGGCAGGGTACAGGCAGCTTCTTCGAGCTTGTGCAGCCCTGGGCAGGGGACCTCAGAGTCTGAGCTGCCCCCGTTCTCCTCTGACAGTGGAGAGGGCCCTGGTCTGTGTGGGAGGCCTGAGCCTTCAATCACTTCCTCACAGTCAGGGTTTGACAGTCTCCCTGCTCCTCAGACCCCACGCTCCGTGAGTCACTGTGTTTTCAAGTTTGTTCACGTGTGTTTTCTGTCAGTTCTACCACGCCGAGCCTCCGCGGAGCTGAAACAAGCGTCTCTTGCCATGTGTTCCTGACCAGGAACTTGGGTCTTCAGGGAAACAGGATGATGTTTCCTTTGGAATCTAGGGCGGGGCGGCACGTGTGCGCCCCTCTGTCTGTAGCCGCACCGGATACTGCTCCGGGTTGCATAAGCACGTCCTGCTCTGCTTTGCTGCTAAGCAACTTCTCTCCCACGAAGGATGCGACGAGGGGAGAGGTTTTCAAGTGCAGCTCACAGGTGCAGAGGCGGCTGAGGGAAGGGGTGCAGAGGGAGTGGGGGCGGCAGTGGGGGTGCTACTAGGGGGTGCCAAGGAGCCAGGCCTTGCATAATCCTCCCCCCACCTCTTCCAAAGGGAACAGGGTTCAGACCGCTCCCAGCGGCGAGGAGCTGGGCTCACAGCCCGGGAGCCGGGTGTTCCTGGGAGGGAGAGAGCTCCATCCTCCCCCTCCCCTCCCCCCCGCCGATGGAGCCTGTTCTCTGCCCGTTCTCCGTATTGGCACCCTCGAGGGCTGGCAAGACCTTGCTCACTTATTCCTGCTGCTCTTCGGGACCTGCCACCCCCACGTACCCAGCGGACAGCAACGTGGTCTTGGGTCCCCTTCAGGAAGCCTTTGTCCGCTAGCGTTAGCTGCCCCTCTCCTCTGCAGAGACCTTAGTAAAGGCTCCCCTGTGGCAGTTCCAACCCTTGCTTTCAGAGGCTCCCTGGAGAGGCCATTTTCTGGGGGTTCTCCAGACTCTTCTGGACCTTAGAGGTCTTTCTGGCCTGTGCAGGCTGATCCTCCCAGAGCTGCCGCGGACAGCGAGGAGGACTTCTGGAATTCAGCCCACCTGCCTTCCTCCAGGTCATTAGTCCTTTCTCTTTTCCGACCAGGGCTGAGTGGGTTGGGTTTTTTTTTCCGCACAGACTTTTGGCCCCAGCAGTCCCTGGGGCCAGGTCTTCAGGAACACCTGGGGTGATGCCGTGTTCATACTCTGAGCTGTCCCTGAGAACCCAGCTGTCCCTGCTCCCTGCTCTGTAGGTAGAGGTCAGCTGGTCAGGTCGCCTTGTGCTTGCCACCCCCTGGCCCAACTGCCGCACACTTGCCTCCCCACTGGAACATTCAGTTTGGCATTTTGAACAGTCACATGCCATCTGCAGCTGAGGAGGTGTCACCGTGTCACTCCTCCCCCAGCTCCTTCGCTCTGGAAGACTCCTGGAAACGCCAAAGACCGCCTTCTCTCGGGTCACATGCTGTGCTGTCTGGAGGGGAGGCAGGGGCTGATGCGTGTGTAGGACTCAGCTCTAGACACTCGGCAGCACCTCCGCCCCCCTTCCCCCGCCCCAGGAACTAAACTTCCTACTGAGGGTGAGAGGGAAGCACACACAGCATGGCTGCGCCTGGAAAGCACTGAGCCAATTTAGCCAGAGTTATTTTAAGGGCAAGCCCAGTACCTCGGCAGCGTGAAGGGGATGGTGAAGAGTGTGGCGTGTCAGGGTTGCAGGGGCCTCTAGGCCGGGGCAGGGAACAAAGGTGAGACAGGACAGCTGTACTGCCTCTACCGAGACCCTGGCTCATCCGGGCTTCCCATCTGCTCTTGCCCATCTTCTCGGCCAGTCTTGAACTCCAGCAGGAGATGTGTCTTTTGCACCCCTGCACCCCCTTCCCACACACACCTCTTCTGAGCTCTTGGCCTTCTGCTCAGCAAACACAGGTCCTAATGACAGTTTTTAGTAAGCTTCTGGCAGTTGTCAGCTCCTGACTTCATCTCTGTGGTGCTTTTTCTGGCCTGTTTATGATGTAAGACAGCATGGCTGGATGCAGAGGAGAAGGTAGCAGCGGCGCTCGGCTCTTCATGTGTATCTGTTCCTGGGTGGTCCCCAGGCCAGGAGGTGGCTCACAGGGGAGGCCGTGGTTTGGGCAGGTCCCTCCCTGCAAACGGGCATGAGAGAGTTTATGAGTGTGTGTGTGCCTGTGTACAGGCACCTGGGAGAGCGTGTGAGTGGTGTGTGAGCAGAACAGGGCTCTCCCGTGGGATCGTGTGGCCGGCCAACCTCAGGGGGCTCCCGTGCTGAGAGGCTTTGCCCAACGTCTCCCTCTCTCCCCTCTTTGCAGCAGTCCAAGGTTGTGCTCTTGGAAGACCTGGCTTCCCAAGTGGGCCTGCGGACTCAGGTAAGCCTTGGAAGAGGGGTGGCCTGCTACGTGGAATGTGGTCATGGGGTCTGTATGGCTGTCCGAGGGGGCCCACCTGAAAGATGGAGTGGTGATGTCCCCAAACAAGAGTAAATTGTAGGAATCTTTGGCACCCCAGGAATCCTGTCTTTCTGCTCAATGGAGGAAAAAGAAAAAAGCCCAAACCTCGTCACTCCAGCAGCCCCTGTAACGGAGGCAGCCCAAACCCAGTTACCTTGACAGCTCTCTTGGAAAGAGGCTGCGCCAGACATCCCCACCTCCCCTCTCCTGCCTTGAAGTGAGCCTCTCGCAGGGGTCTTCTGGGGCCTCAGGACCGGAGTCTTGTCTCCCCTGGGCCCCTCCAAAGGAGAAGCAGAGTCACGTGGGGGGCAGCCATGAGAAGGAGGAGAGGAGAGTCGGCTGCGGTCGGAGGGCGAGTGTGGCTGTCTTCTGGGGAGGCAGTGCCCATCTCTGCCCTGAGACTTGTTCTTCTCGTAGGACACCATAAACCGCATCCAGGACCTGCTGGCTGAGGGAGCTCTGACAGGTGAGGGGATGAGAATCACTCGCCATAGGCTTTGGCCTGGGAGGGGGTGTTGAGGAACAGGGGGCCTGCAGGGACTTGTTGCAGAGGCCAGGTCACACACACACACACACACACACCCCAGCCCTGGATGGGGAAGTGGTGTGCAGGAAGGGCACGGAGCAGAGGGATATACCCAGGCCTGGGAATGGCTCTGGGTGACAGGGACAGCCTGGTTTGACTCACCTAGCCACGATTGGATGCAGCCAGGGGAAGCCAGGCACATAGGCAAGTCTGGAGGGCTCTGAACCAGAAAGGGGTGGCTGGGTGGGCATTCTTAGGCAGTGGTGGGGTTGGGGGCCTGGAGGGCTCAGCCCCACTACCCTTCTGTCTCCACAGGTGTGATTGACGACCGGGGCAAGTTCATCTACATAACCCCCGAGGAACTGGCTGCCGTGGCTAACTTCATCCGACAGCGAGGCCGGGTGTCCATCACTGAGCTAGCACAGGCCAGCAACTCCCTTATCGCCTGGGGCCGGGAGACCCCTGTCCAGGCCCCAGCTTGACCCAGCCCTACCCTTTTGGACTGGGAGCTGGTACAGCCTACCTGGCCATACATCTTGGTCCCTCCCCACCATCCTGGGGGAGAGATGGAATGTGGCCAGACAGTTATAGATTAAAGGCCTGTGAGCGCTGCTGAGCTTGGTGTGGCTTGGTGTGACAGAAGGCCTGGCCTGAGATCCCAGATGAGCAAGGGAAGCCTAGTCCTCAAAGTATATCAGGGGCAGGTAGGGGGCGGGAGGAGCCGGAGGTGAAAGTTCCATTCTTGTGCACTCATTCATTTAAAAAGAATATTGAGCATTTACTGTGTTCCTTTGTACCCTTCAAAGATGAGATCTTTCTCTCCCTCCCTCAGAGCAACCTTCCCAGAGCAAAAGTGAGCAACCGTAGGGCCGGCCACCTCTCCCCTAAATGGGGAGGGAGGTCTCACGGTTGCTTAGATAGATGGATTCAGGAGCCCTACAGAGTGCTGAGAGCCCTTAAGGAGAAGAGTGAAGTGCCTAGGATAGAATCCTGAGGGACATCAGCCTTTAAGAGGGAGGGAAGAGCGGTCAGCGAGGGAGAGAGGCTGGGCAGGTAGAAGGAAGTGGGGAACCTGCTTGAGCTGGATGGAATTGTGCAGTGGAGAGATCTGCTTCGTACAGTCCATTGCATGAATTTAGCTCTATATCGTCAACAAAGTTTAAATGGTGTGGGTGATTCCACCCACCGGTGGATGTAAGGACCATATGCTTAGGAGTGGGTGTCAGATGGCAGATGTGTGTCTCCTGTAGGGTCAGTCACTCTAGTTCCTGTGGGCTGTTCCTGGCGTGAGCATCCTGCTGTGCTGAGGGTGAGGCATGTGTTAAATGTGTATTTTTTATGCAAGGTTGCCCCTAAACATAAGCCACCTACGTCCTCTGGTGCCTGGTAGAGGAGGCAGCTTTCTGTTCTCACCCTGAAGGAAACCATGTGGATGCTGATGGGGAGACAGGACATCAGGCATTAGGGTGGAGCATTCCCTAGTGTTGTCAAGGATGATTTTGACTCATTTGGAGCCATAAGCATGAACTATAGTACCTAAATTCCAAGTGACATGTGACTCTGCTGCTTCCGTCTGCAGCGGGCACTTGGAGTCACCTGAAGCTGGGAAGGGCCACGTGCATTGTTTGGAAGCCCATAATCCAGAAGGAGAGGGAAGAAACAGAGGTACCGATAGAATGAGAAAGAAACATAAAAAGTAAAGTCCCCACTGGAAAGGGCTTCTTACAGAGCAAGGTCTCCTCTGTCCTTCTCATCAGTTGTCCTCGGCTACTGCTATCCAGGTGGCAGGATGACTAGCAGTCTTAGCACCTGCATTCCACCCTCAGGATCCAGTGCACAGGCCAGGAGTGAGGAAAAGGCACATCCCTTCCTCAAATCCTGGAAGCCTTCGAAAACCCTTTATGTCCCAAGGGCTTATTGTGGAGGAAAAAACCTGTGACCCTGTGTGAATTATTTAGTGATCAACCTGCTAATCTAATCTGTTTATCAAATGAGCAGTTCTTGAAACAGTGATTAACATTTTTCTAAATATGTAGGAAGCGCTTTTACAATTAGCACATGAAAACGTTCAGGTTTAACCACTTGTTTTTCAAGCGTGTAAACAATTATTACTTAATTACTTCTAAGCATCTAAATTCCCCAGATTTAATACATGAACTTATTTTAAATGCTTTTACATCTCAGAAAGTAGATGTGGTGTTAAAACAAGAGCATTACTGATCTGTATGTGTGATACTGAAACTGATCATAAATATTTCAATATCATGGGTTTACATTTGCTTATTCACTAGCTCTGCTTTTCTTTTTCCTCCTGAGGGTAGTTTTCACTTGTTCTGGAGCCCCAGTGTGATTATCTCAGGTGGCTGAGGAGGTATATATATATATGAAGGATGGTGATTCAGAAGCAGGGACCCAGGACTTCACTATGACCCTGAGTCGTTTAGTTGTGTGGCCCCTTTTTCATAGTTAGCTCCCCTCTCCACATCAGAAACACTTGACTGTTGGCTCCATCTCATCAGGTAAATTCTGATTTTGGAGTTTCCAAGTTACAGAATGCTCGTTAGGCTTGTTCTGGGTGCCTTATCTTTATAGCCCAGCTCAACAGGCCTGTTTTAATACCACTTGCTTCCAGTAGAGTCCAGTTAAGTTTTGTTCTATCACAACCTCTTTTTTATGAATCTTCAATTTTTTTTAATATTTATTTATTATTGAGAGACAGAGACAGAGCATGGGGCGGGGGGGGAGGGGCAGAGATAAAGGGAGACACAGAATCCAAAGCAGGCTCCAGGCTCTGAGCTGTCAGCACAGAGCCCAATGTGGGGCTCGAACCCACCAACCATGAGATCATGACCTGAGCCAAAGTCGGACGCCCAACTGAGCCAGTCAGGCCTATTATTGACAAGCCCGTGGTTGGAGAGCCAAATAATACAACTTGCCTTTTCAAAAATGGTTATAAGATTGTCCATGAGTTAAAAAATTATAAAAACTGGGTAATGGGTACATGTAGGTTATATTCCTCTATTTTTATATTGAAAGTTTCTCATAAAAGCTTAATATTAAACAATAAGGGGCTCTGGCTGGCTCAGTTGGTGGAGCATGCCACTCGAGCTCAGGATTCTAAATCCAAGCCCCACAGTGGATGTAGAGATTACTTAAAAGTAAGCTTTTTCTTTTTGAAAGCAGTCACTTATTTATTTTTAGTTTATTTTTGAGAGAACACACACAGGCGTGTGAGTAGGGGGACCAAGAGGGAGAATGAGAATCCCAGGCAGTCTCTGCATTGTAAGCACAGAGCCCAATGTGGGCTCAAACTCAGGAACTGTGAGATCATGACCTGAGCCGAAATCAGGGGTTGGATGCTTAACTGACTGAGCAACCCAGGTGCCCCTGAAAGTAGTTATTTATTAACTGGCTCGATTACAAAAATAATCATGGTAGATACCTTAGTTCATCCTTCTAATAAGCCTTTTGATCTTGTCTTCCCTGTTGCCAGCATCTCCCCCTTCTACAAAACGGGTGGTTTTTCCTTCATTCCCTCTTGTGGAGAAGATAATTTGAAGGGCCTAAAAATAATTATTTTTTAAATAAGTGTTTATTTTTGAGAGCGAGAAAGTGCAAGCTGGGGTGGGGCAGAGAGGGGGACAGAGGATCCGAAGTACGCTCCCCAGTGACAGCACAGAGCCTGATGTGGGGCTCAAACTCAGCATACCGTGAGATTGTGACCTGAGCCGAATTCGAGCCAACTGAGCCACCCAGGCGCCCCTAAAAATAAGATATTTTTTAAAATAACACAATGAGCCCTAGATGGCTTCATGATCCTTGGCTCAAGGTAAGCTTCAGAAAAGGGGCTAAAAAAACTGGACCCTGTGAGGCTGCCAGTACGCCCTCCATCCACCTGGCAATTGAGTGACCCCCACACTACACAGTGGCAACAGTCAGTGCAGGCTGCATGTTGGATCTCTAACACAAAAATTATTTAACACATTCAAAGTGTGGGTAAAAAACTAACAATCTATGGTAAGCCCACAGTATGCAGCAGGATGCTAAGCACCCCAGGGAACTGCTTTGAGTGAAATGTGGCCCCATCCACAAGTAGGGGGTGGGGCAGTGGTGCTAATCCACTAGGGAGGCCAGTCAGCCTGCCAGCAGGTGCACGGCCAAGTCCTGTGATAGACAAAAGGGACCGGTGGCTTACAAGCAGAGGCCCTCTGGGCTGAGGGGAGGACAGGTGTGGGAATATAAAGGTTTGTGATTCACTGAGGGGATGTGGCGTTTGGGGCTGCAGGAAGGGGAAAAGCTGAGACAAAGGATGAGAAGGTGGAAAGGGAGGTAGGGACCCTACTGGGAAGGGCGGTGATTGCCAAGCCGAGGGATATAGGGGATATTTGGTGAAGGGGGAGGGGGAGATATCTAATTAGTGTTTTGAATGAGTAACTCATTTGTCTTTTTTTAATTTTTAATGTTTTATTTATTTTTGAGAGAGAGACAGAGCGCTAGCAGGGGAAGGGCAGAGAGAGAGGGAGACACAGAATCCAAACAAGCTCCAGGCTCTGAGCTGTCAGCACAGAACCTGATGCAGGGCTCAAACTCACAAACTCATGACCTGAGCCAAAGTCGGTCGCCTAACTGACTGAACCACCCAGGTGCTCCTAGTAACTCATTTCTCAGCCCTTTGCAATCATCTTATCCCACAAGTCGTCATTACTCCATCAACCCCTCCCTGTACCACCTCAAGTCTTCACAAGTGCTTGCCCCAAACATCTCCAGTCCCAAGTCTCAGCCCCAAGATTGCAGACTATTCCACTAAGGCTGTGTTTCTCGAACTTACTTGATAGTATCTCCTAGTAAGAAATCCATTTTTCATTAAGTACATGTTTGTGTGCACTTGCATAGAGAGACCTGAAGCTAAGGTGTCCTACCAGTGCTTTGCTTAGTGCGGTGTTGATGTTTGCTTCTCTGTTCTGTACCACCGCTGATGCTGACTCCATTGACTTCTTAACCCACTAACAGATTTGAAAAATAGGATTCTAGGAGCTGTTCCTTTTACATTGAGGACAGTGCCAAGGATCAATATCTGGGTGAAGAGTTGTGTAATGTATGTAACTTGATCATCACGGGGTTGTACCAAAACCAATTTAGACTACAGTAGTGACATTGAAAAATGGTTTTACTGGGTTTATCTGACACCATACATAATTTTTGGCTTACTATATACTATATTATTTTATTACTCATTACAGCAAAAATGTGTCAGAGAATGTTGTGAGAACCTATCAAATACCAATACTATAACATTAACTTTGTTTAAAGATAATCCTTTGCACATAACATGCTAGATCTATTGGCTGGTTTTAGTCATTTTAACTTAACTTTCTTGACTTACATTCCTAACAAAAACATACCCTTAATAATACAAAAACTGAAACTAGTAATGTTCCAACTGTATTGTAACTGAGTGACAAAGTTAATGCTTCTGTTACTTTGTTTTCCTTTAACTATTTCTCATCAGTGAGGTCCATCAAGCCACTTTGTTGTTGAGCTAAACCCTGCAGTTTACAGAACAGCGTAGTTGGGTGGATACATGCTGGATGTCTCTACACTGGCAGGTTGTCTTTATGTGTTTTTTTTTAGTTTGTGCATATTGCTTCATATCAACATAGGTAATAATAACAAATATGAATAGATGAGACACTATTGAACATATAATCCATCATTGGTGGGAAACTCATTTTTCCCCGTCTCAGCTGCTGTCCCTGTTGGATTGTAGTAACTCAAGAGAGGAAAAGTTGACAAGTGGTAAGGGAAGTACACATGGGAAGTTTGAGCCCCAGAGGCAGGTAGTGTAAGTTTTACCTAGCCATTTAATCTGGTCTGCAGCCATATCTGCAACATAAAACGTTGACAAAGAAGGTTTTCTGCCAGACATGTTTACCCCAGCTTTTACAAAAATTCTATATGGTAACATTTTTGGAGTCTGCATGTTTCCATAAAATTGATTATGAAAGTTTTGGGTATAATTATAATTTCATGATACAATAATCCTTAGTATTCTCCTTGGGGCTTTAAGAGGAACAACATGCTTCACAAATAGATGTCAGTTCATAAAGCTCAGGATGGTGGGTGGTAGGGCAGTGGCTTCTATTTCTTTATGCTTTGTTTCTAAATATCTTGCAATGAGGTTTACACTGTATAGATACAGATAAGTCTCTTTGTTAGTACTGTATAAACAAAGTATCAATTATGTAAAAAACAAAAGTGTTAGGGACCCTTGTGAACATATAAGCAAAAACTATCTTCTATTGGGAAAAATCTGGAAGGAGTAAAGAATAGTGGTTTTAACAGTCTAATAAGTTTTTAATATTTTGCCTTTAACTCTTATTTTTCAAGGGTCGTGTGTGTGTGTGTGTGTGTGTGTGTGTGTAAACGTCAGCTCATCAGCTTATAAAACTGCATGTTAAAGACCCCAGCATACTTGGATCGTAAACATTTCAGTTAGTTTTATATTGGTCTGGATAACCTCCAAGACCTTTACTAGTCATTCCCAGGAATTGTTGGCCCAATTCCAGAGGGTTTTATTTCCTCATAAAGCAAGCAACAGCTGTGAAAAGCTTTAGTACAAACATCCACACTTAAACATGGATTAAAGTGCCTTGTCTGCCCTCCAGTTTGGCATTTGGAGGTCACTGCCCAGTCACCCCACAGATGCCCCAAGACCCCTTCTGGATAACTTGGTGGTAGGGCCCTGAAGGGTCACAACAGTCTATTAATTGGTAGGTTTTGATTTGCATCACTTCACTATCAACAGGGCTGGAGATGTTTTCAGTTGCTTGTTGGCCATTTGTATTCTGTGAATGATCTATTTCTCTTTTATCCCTCTTTTATCCATTTATCTGTAGCCCTGTAGACCCAGGGCCTTTGCAGTTTCATTCACCATTCAGCAAATGAATGTTAAGTATCTATTAACGTGCTTGCATTCATTTTCTCCTACTGCAGTAACAAATTACCACACATTTAGTGACATAAAACAACTTACATTTACTATCCTCTAGTTCTGTAGAAGTCCAGCATGGGTCTTACTGGGCTAAGATCAACATAGAGTTGTTTCTTTCTGGAGGCTCTATTCTGTCTTCTCCTTGGCCGTGGTCTTTTTCTCCATCTGTAAAGCCAGTTATGTTACATCTCTAGCCATTCTTCCATAGTCACATGCTCCCTGCCCCCACTTCTGCCTTCCTCATCCACTTTTAAGGGTCCTTATGATTACACTG